GTTCACTTTTAACTTCTCTCCATTTTTGGTATATTACTCCACCAATACGGACAATATTACTCCAATTCAGCCAATAATGTCTTACTGCTGGGCTGAAACTGGCACATTTATCTCTATCTGGTGTTTCTTCTTCTTCATCCATCCATTTATGTAAAAAACTGTAATCTGGGTCTTCTTTCTGGAATGTACTCATCTCTTTTTCTGTGTATTTAGTTAGCCAACTGGAACAATGACTATGGCTTGACTGTGTTACATTCCTTATCATAGGTTTATCAGTTAAATTCTTTACATTATCAACCTTTTTTCTAAATTCTGACCATTCTTGTTTCCATTCAATACATTCAGTGCAACTGGAATCAAGATTTCCCTCTTTCAAATGTATACAAAGATCATTTTCATTAGAATTTCTAGACATTGCATCAGCATTCAAATGTTTTGTACCTGGACGGTGTTGAATGTCAAAATTGTATTGACTAAGACTTTCAATCCATCGTGCTAACTGTCCCTGAGGGTCTTTAAATGCAAATATCCATCTTAATGATCCATGGTCTGTTCTCAGCAAAAATTTTCGTCCAAGTAAATAGTGCCGAAATTGCTGTATAAATGTGACAACTGCAAGTAGTTCTCGTCTTGTGACACTATACCTCTGTTGTACCCTGTCTAGCTTCTTTGATGCATATGATATAACCTTTTCTTTGTTTTCTTGGATTTGAGACAGCACAGCGCCAATACCTATATTAGATGCATCTGTGTCCAATATAAACATTCCGTCTGATTGTGGGTATGCCAATATTGGTGATGTTGTCAGTGCGTTTTTCAATTTTTCAAAAGATTCTTGACAGGGATGTGTCCATTTAAAAAGTACATCTTTTCTGGTAAGATGACTGAGTGGAGCTGCAATGTCACTGAATTTGAATATATACTGCCTGTAATAATTACATAGACCAAGGAATTGTTGAATCTCTTTTGCTGTTGATGGAACTTTCCAGCTATGTACGGACTGTACTATCTTTGGATTTGGCTTTATTCCCTCTTTTCCTACCACATGGCCTAGGTATAATATTTCTTCTCTTAACAGATCACATTTAGATGGTTTAAGCTTGAGCCCTGCATTTATAAGTCTTGAAAAAACTTCATCTAGTCTTTTAAGATGTTCTTTTTCATCAGAACTAAAAATTATAATATCATCGAGATATATCAGGAGTGTTTGCCATTGAAGTCCTCTAAATATCAACTCCATGCACCTCTGGAAAGTGCTTGGGGCATTGCAGAGTCCAAAAGGCATCTTTGTATATTCATACAGGCCATACTTGGTAATAAATGCAGTCTTTGGTTGGTCTGATTCTTCTACCAGTAACTGCCAATAACCACTTTGAAGATCGAGACATGAAAATATGGACGCTGACGCTAGACAATCAAGGCACATATCTATGCGAGGAATTGGGTAGGCATCTTTAATTGTAAGATCGTTGACTCTGCGAAAATCCACACACCAGCGCACAGAGTTGTCTTTCTTCCGAACAAGTACTACAGGTGAAGCCCATGCTGATTTTGATGGTTTGATAACTCCCGTCTTAAGTTGATCTTGTAAGTTCTCAAATTCTTCATTCTCAAATCCTATTGGTGTCCTTCTAAGTGGCTGTCTTACTGGTGCTGCACCAGCTGTGTCTATTCTATGCTTTATAAAGGAACATGTTCCAACATCAGTTTTAGAACCAGCAAATGCCTTGCTGTTCTTGAGGAGCATATCTGAAAGCTTTCGTTTGGTCTCTTCATTTGCTATGTTTTTACTACTTCTTTCAAATAAATCCTTAAGATGATCTGGTAATGCAGGAATTTTGGCCTCATTTCTGCATTTATCATCCATCTCCAAGGAATTTTCTGCTTTACATTTCCGAATGGTACTATTCCAGTCATCAGGAATACCTACTGGTTCATCTGTAAGGCTCATATTCATCTTCAAATTGTGCAACTTGCAGATATTCTTGGTATTATCGTCCAAAGGTTTTGTACTGTTTTGGATGTCATCAAACTGTGTAATATTTGTAACTGGATGTAACTCTCCTATTAAATAATTTCTTTTCAACTGTACAGGGTGGTCCTCCATATTGACCAGTCTAACGGGGATGATTTTTTCAAAAGGGTCAACAAGGATTTGTGCAACCATAATTTTCCGATTATCCTCAACCACTGGTTGAAGCATGGTATATCTGGTATCTATAGCATCAGTATTATCACTCCCACCAAATAATATCATCTCAGAATTGGCTGGAACGGTTACATTTTCAGTTAAAACCACTCTTGCTATCATGTCTGACTTGCGGTTAACTTCACACTCAATCCATTTTCCATTCAGTTGAATTCCTTTTCTAGAGTTTACTGTTATATCCATTTCATCAAGGACATCACAGCCTAGCAACAAATCATCACCAATTGTTGCTACATATACATCCCAGACAAACTTTGAGTCTCCAAGTGTTAACGTCACTGCTGCTATACCTTTTGTTCCCAATTGCTTCCCTGCTTCGGCAACAACTAGTTTTTTCAGTGCTGGTTTCAACTTTGATCTGCTTGTTTTTGGAAGGTGGAAAAATATGTCTTCATTTAAAACAGTAACTTCTGCTCCAGTATCAATTACAGCTTTTATTTTTTGATTACTGACTTCCATTGGTACCTTAATACTGGCTGCTGTTACGCGATCAATTACAATTTCCTCTTTATTGTTAAATATCACGTCCTTTTCAGCACCTGTATCCTGACCACTATCACCATTTAAAGAGAGACCTTGGTCCTCCGGTATAGGCTCAGCAACAAAATCTGTATTTTCTTTCTTACTGGCAGAGTTCACCATTTGATTTTCAATCCCCATACCAAGAAACACACATTCAATGTTTCTATCTACTTGATCCTCATTTGTCTGGTTTATATCTACTAAGTCTGTTTTAATTTTGCAATTGCGGGCTGACACTTGGCCATTAGTCTCAGCCCGTTTTAGTTTAACGGATTTCCGTCTGAAACCTGTCCTTGTGTCTGTTTCTGGTTAGGACATGACCTTGCATAATGTCCTTCTTCATTACATGCATAGCATCTTGTGTTGTTTTGCTTCTGGTTTTTGTCCTTGTTATGCCATCTTGAATTTTGACTGTTAAAATTCTTCTTAGGCTGGTATGTATTTGATGTTGGTAGTCTTGTGTTCATTATGTTCTCAATAGACTTGGTTACTTCAGTCGTGATACTTTCTTTCATCTCTCTACCAAACTGATTAAGACGCTCCTCTGTTACAAATCGTTTACCTCCAACTCGTCTCACTTCTATGTCATCAGACTGATCAGCATCAAAAGACGTTTCTTCTTCAATTTCAATTTGCCTTATTTGAGTTTTGCTTCTCAATCCATTTTTGCATGTAGTATGCCATGCTACAAGATTGATTGTTTCCTCCATAGTTTTAGGTCTTTTTGTCAATACATCATAGGCAATACTTTGATCATTTAATCCATTTAACATATGTTCAATTGAAATATTGTTGAAAAGTTGATTATCCATGCCTGGATATGCCTTCCTGACCATTGTCTGAATGCGAGCAGCATATTCATTTACTGACTCCTTGTAATTTTTTCTGGTAAATTGCAACTCTTTTCTGTAGGTTTCAGGCAGGTTGTTATCTCCAAATCTTCTTTCCATATCTTTGGATAAAAGTCTAAACGAGCTCCTTGTTTCATACGGTAGCTCTGATGCAAATTTTGCAGCTTCATCTTTAAGCACCAGTAATATTTCCTCAGCTTGACGTCTTGGGTCCCAATTATTTCTTTCAGCAATTATTTCAAATTGCATCTGAAATGTACTCCAGTCACTTCTTCCATTGTAGTCTTGAGTGATAACTATCTTGCATGCTAGATGTGGAGTCTGTTCTGTATCTCATTTGGTTGTTTTGCTGTCTAGTATAATTTGGTTGAAAATTTTGCTGTCTTATATTATCTGGTTGGTTATTCTGCTGTCTGTAATAATCTCTTTCATTTTCAATTTGAAAATTTTGCTGTCTTGCATTATCTGGTTGGATATTCTGCTGTCTTGTATTTCCTGATTGAAAATTTTGCTGTCTTGTATTATCTGGTTGGTTATTCTGCTGTCTGTAATAATCTCTTTCATTTTCAATTTCCCTTATTTTCTCTCTCAATTTAAATACTTCTTGTTGGTCATCACCGTTATTATGGCTGATTGGTCTGTTGAAACTGGTGTCACTGAATGATGTAATTTGTGGTATATTAGCCGTCTTTGTCTGATCATGAAATGGATTAGATGCATAAGATGTGCTTATTCCTCCCGTGGAAAAGGACCATGTACTTGGTACACCTTGTACTTTTGCATAAGTGTTTGAAGCGCTACTGTTTTGAACAAATGTGCTTGTTGCACTTTGGGTATATGAACCAATGCTCTGTGCACTTTGGTTATATGGACCAGTGCTCAGTGCACTTTGTGTATATGGACCAGTGTTCAGTGCACTTTGGGTATAAGGACCAGTACTCAGTGCACTTTGGATATAATGACCAGTGCTCAGTGCACTTTGGGTATAATGACCAGTGCTCAATGCACTTTGTGATGAAATACATGTGCTAGGTGCACCTTGAGTTTGAATATATGTGCTTGGTGCACTCTGATGTTGTACAGTTGTGCTCAGTGCACTCTGTACAGGAACATTAATGCTCTGTGCACTGTCTCTTATCATTGACACCCCCGGTTCATTTAATGAATTATTACTGGTTAAAGCAGGCAAGGTAAGTTGACTTGAAGAACCATGTAAACTTGGCATATTTGATAACCCACTATTTGAAACAAATTGTGTCTCATTTTCTCTTGTTAAGTCAGAAAAATTGGAATTAACACTATATAAGGGAGCTCTTGGGAACCCTCCCCCTCTATTATTTAAAAACATTGGAAGTGGTAATTGTCTGTGTCTTAAATTCATATTTAATATACCAGACTGAATTAATACTTAATTTCAGTTACCTTTAATGTTATTAAAATATTTTTAGAAAAATACACTTTGTGTTTCAGTAACTCTTAGTGTTCAATTATTTTATATGGAATTATACACCTTGAGTTTCAATAACTCTTGGTGTTCTATAGTTTATAAGGAAAAAATACACCTTGAATTTCAATAACTCTTGGTGCTCAATAATTTATAAGGAAAAAATACACCTTGAATTTCAATAACTCTTGGTGTTCAATAATTTATATTGAAAAATACACCTTGAATTTCAATAACTCTTGGTGCTCAATAATTTATAAGGAAAAAATACACCTTGAATTTCAATAACTCTTGGTGCTCAATAGTTTATAAGGAAAAAATACACCTTGAATTTCAATAACTCTTGGTGTTCAATAATTTATATGGAAAAATACACCTTGAATTTCAATAATTCTTGTTCAATATTTTATATGGAAAAATACACCTTGAATTTCAATAACTCTTGTTGTTCAATATTTTATATGGAAAAATACACCTTGAATTTCAATAACTCTTGGTGTTCAATAATTTATATGGAAAAATGCACCTTGAATTTCAATAATTCTTGGTGTTCAATATTTTATATGGAAAAATACACCTTGAATTTCAATAACTCTTGGTGTTCAATAATTTTATATGTAAACCACACTTTGAGTTTCAATATAAGCTGATTTGTATGTTGTTTTTTTTTTTTTATGTATTACTTTTTTCCTTCCTTTTTTTTTTTTTTTTTTAAATGATGTTTTTACCGCTGCCACCAATTGAAGCGCCAACCGTTATTGTAAATGGTTTGGCAGATATTATACAAATATCAATTAAAGTCAAAGTAATAAAACTGTTTTGAAGTCCAAACTTTGGATAATCAAGAAATAAGATTTGTTTAAATAAATAAAAGCAGCTTTATTAAAAGCTAATATCATTAACAATAGTTATTAATAAATCAATTAAATAGAATTGCAGTGTGTGCCAAAATACCTGAATAAATAATTCTGGGTCACTGTCTGAAACTCAGCTGTTCGCCAGCGGCTATAATTTGAAACTGACTATACTTTTCTCTAAACGTTTGAAAGATCAAGTTAGTCAATACACCTAAAAATAGTACGCTTGTACACAATTGTGAAAGTAAACCAAAATGCCTTTAACTTGACAAGTATGATTTTGGATAATTCTAACATTATAAAAGGATAACTATGGATAAAATAGGATGCATTAATAACTTCTGAATAAGGTAATTATGTTGTAACTATAGAAAATCATTCCGCATAACAAGCAAGTGTACAAAAGTGAAAATATGTATGACCTAGTTTCGCGGAAAATATACACCGGGAAATACAAATGAAAAGCAATGAATGAAGGTTATTATTAAAAGAATACTGTAAATAATCGTGGCACAACATTAGACCACATTCATTCTGTGTCAGAAACCTGTGCTGTGTCAAATATTTAATCACAATCCAAATTCAGTGCTGTATCAAGCTTGAATGTTGTGTCCATATATATACTTGCCCCAACTGTTCAGGGTTCGACCTCTGCGGTCGTATCAAGCTGCGCCCAGCGGAGCATTTTATTATCATTACCAATAATGTTACTGGAAGTTCATTTGTCAGGTTGGTATTGGGATGTGAGTCATATTTCTCTTGATACTATTGGCAATGCACAAAAAGGGTATTTAATGAATAATTCTGCTAAAAAAAACAATCTGGAAATATTAAACATGAGATTTATATGTTATTTTCAACCAACCATCCAAATGCAGTAAAACTACTCAAATGGAATGCATTCATATCAAAAAAGAAAACCACTTCAAAAGTATGTTAAGTGGACTTTTTGACATTAATTCTAAATGATGGCAATAGCCTACAAGACCTTTGACCAAGGGAGATAATAACAAAAAACACACAACAATTTCTAATAGCAAACACATAAACTTTCAGACATTTTAGTGGTGAAATTGCCATTAACAATCAATTTTTCTCTGAATTTCGAAGGAAAATATATCTTAAGGATATAAACAGTGACATTCTGTTGTTTGATAAGTAAATATGTTTTTCTTTTTATTTCAGGTTCTAACATTCCACATTAAAGGTGTCATTCCATGCTTATCTTCCAAGACATAGTAGTGATAAATACATTCTATGTTTATATTCCAGGAAGTTATACATGCTTTTATTTTGTAGTGTAGGTTTAGGGTAGTAAATTAAACATATGCTTGCACACAGAGATTTATTGTTATTACAATGTAACGGTGCATTGGATTTAAAATTTTGAAATTTGTTTATTATGATAATTTTGTTCCTATTAAATATGCATTAATTTCATCTGTATGCACATTTGGCAAGGTCAGCATCTAGGCCAAAAATTGAGTGTGTGTATACTTGCATGACATCATATACAACTTCCTGTTTTTTTAGGTTTAATTTTTGTGTGATGTATAATCTTCATCTGTGAATTTTGGTTACTTGATGGGATGTGCATTCTATGTCCTTTAAACAAAACAAAAAGTTAGATAACCAGGAGGCGATTTCATTAACTTTTAAAACGTTATTCGGTTAATTCTAATGTAAGTAATTTTCCATATAACAGCCATAAAATTATGTAGGATTGATTTGTTTTGTTTAGTTTTTCTACGCATATTTAAGAATTTTAAGAAAGAACCAATTTTCATGACTATGTCAAATGTTGTTTAATGTATATTTTACCAGAGACATTTAATTCAATGTATTTTACATAAAATTAGAGATTAATGGGTAACTGTATTATTCTTTTCTGATCTATATACTATTTACCCATGTCAATTTGTAATACATGATTTCAAAAATGAAATGTATTTATTTTACAATTATTAATATGATATTCATATGTCATGAATTAATAATAATTTTGCTTGTTATACATTGTAAATACTACAAATTTATTAAAAAAAATAATTTTAATTCACTTATTAATCTTATTGGAGAATTGAAGAGATGAATTAGTTTGGATAGTTGGCAACTTTTGAATGTTTGTTAGTACAATTTATCCTATAAGAAGTCAGTTCATGGTTTCAGTAATTTAGGTATTTTTTTAAATCTTGTATTGCTTTTTATTTATTCTGTAAACAGTTTCTGCCTTTTAATAATAGTTTTCACAAAATAAACAAAAATGCTAAAATTGTTAAAACATGTTTGTTGATGAACCACAATATAATGAACTGACTCTTATGATCAATCATGTAAAAGTTTGAAGTATTGTAATAGTGTCACCTAGTGAATGCAACTCCTCTAAGACCATTTGACAGAGAGCTATCATACACAAGGCACTGAATATAACATCTACATTCTGACTGGATGTGCATATTAATACATCCCGCACAGCCAAACAAACATTTCTTTTTATGATAGGTTTTAATGCCAGAATTCCAGGGATGACCATATTTCTACACCTCAGTCAAGCTTTGGGGTCACTCACTTGAACGTATATGAAATATAGGATTTTCATAACAACCAAAGTAATAACATATGGTAAATACCTTCTTGCCCATATTTTTCCATAGTTTGATTTAGTTTCCTTCATCTGTTCTTAAAAAGAAATCAAAACTTAATTTCTCCTTCTCATAGCACTTCATTGTAAACTATAACCCTGATGGCGGCTTTTTGAATTTGGAAGTAACAACACTTGTAACAGACCTTCATAGAGTATTCAGTAAATATACATATATTAAAAAAACATCTTGCCTCATAACTGTGTTTCTGCATGGGTTGTTTTCACTGCATCCATTTTCGAAAATAACAAATGAAGTACCCAAATGGTTTCAATGTAAACTTTGACCTCTACTGGAAACCAAATTCAACTTTGATTTGAATTTCAATGATGATGGCAGATCTTGATTTGTTCCTGTTAAATTCATTCACTTTTTAAGACTAGGGGATTAAAAGCTTGACCTATTAATTAGACACCAGTCTATTGTTTGACTTATTTGTTGCCCTCCAGAAATATTTCGGTTATTTTTGATGTTAGGTTCCTGTTTCATTGACATATATCCAACATCTCCTTTTACCGGTAATTATATCACCATATATAACACCAGTTAAAGATGGCAATTCTTATTACATTAAGGCATGATCAAATAGCAGACTAGTAGATGTCACTAATCCAACTTCAAGATATTACTCAGCATTCATCTTTTTTTAACGTATGAGCAAACACAAATACCACAAGGTGAGTTATAAAATGTACTTGAAAACAAAACAAAAGACAATCCAAAAGAAACAGCTCCATTTCAATGATCAAGATAATTTGGGGAACATTTGAGATAAAAATAAAAAAATAATTTATCCCTGTCAAATTTTAATATACCTGTCCCAAGATGGCAGCATTGTCAGTGGTTGTCAATTATAATTATCGTTTTTTGCTATTTAGAATATTCGGTTTTGATAATAATCTCTGTAAAATTTATTTGCAACTTTAAGACTCCCTGCAATTGCAAGCTTGACACATTGTATAGACACTTGCCTAATGGTGAAGATTGTATGTTGATCTTAAGATATGTTTTGGCTTTGTTTGTTGTGGCATTGAGGTATTTGTTTCTTGTGGCATTGAGTAACAGTCTCATTGAGGTGTTTGTTTGTTGTGGCATGCAGTTACTTTCTCATTGAGGTGTTTGTTGTCTTTGAGTTACTCTCTCATTGAGGTGTTTGTTTGTTGTGGCATTCAGTTACTTTCTCATTGAGGTGTTTGTTGTGTCATTTAGTTACTCTCTCATTGAGATGTTTGTTTGTTGTGGCATTCAGTTACTTTCTCATTGAGGTGTTTGTTGTGTCATTTAGTTACTCTCTCATTGAGGTGTTTGTTTGTTGGTTGTGGCATTAAGTTACTGTCCCATTGAGGTGTTTTTTTGTTGTGGCATTTAGTTAATGTCTCATTGGGGTGTTTTATTTGTTGTGGCATTTAGTTACTGTCTCATTGAGGTGTTTGTTTTGTTGTGGCATTTAGTTACTGTCTCATTGAGGTGTTTGTATGTTGTGGCATTTACTGTCTCATTGAGGTGTTTGTTTTGATGTGGCATTTACTGTCTCATTGAGGTGTTTGTTTTGATGTGGCATTTAGTTACCGTCTCATTCAGGTGTTTGTTTTGTTGTAGCATTTAGTTACGGTCTCATTGAGGTGTTTGTTGTGGCATTTAGTTACTGTCTCATTGAGTTGTTTGTTTTGTTGTGGCATTTAGTTACTGTCTCATTGAGTTGTTTGTTTTGTTGTGGCATTTAGTTACTGTCTCATTGAGGTGTTTGATTGTTGTGGCATTTAGTTACTGTCTCATCGAGGTGTTTGTTTTGTTGTGGCATTTAGTTACTGTCTCATTGAGGTGTTTGTTGTGGCATTGAGTTACTGTCTCATTCAGGTGTTTGTTTGCTGTGGCATTTAGTTAGTCTCATTGAGGTGTTTGTTTGTTGTGGCATTTAGTTACTGTCTCATTGAGGTGTTTGTTTTGTTGTAGCATTTAGTTACGGTCTCATTGAGGTGTTTGTTGTGGCATTTAGTTACTGTCTCATTGAGTTGTTTGTTTTGTTGTGGCATTTAGTTACTGTCTCATTGAGGTGTTTGATTGTTGTGGCATTTAGTTACTGTCTCATTGAGGTGTTTGTTTTGTTGTGGCATTTAGTTACTGTCTCATTCAGGTGTTTGTTTGTTGTGGCATTTAGTTACTGTCTCATTCAGGTGTTTGTTTGTTGTGGCATTTAGTGACAGTCTCATTCAGGTGTTTGTTTGTTGTGGCATTTAGTTACGGTCTCATTCAGGTGTTTGTTTGTTGTGGCATTTAGTTACTGTCTCATTGAGGTGTTTGTTTGTTGTGGCATGGAGTAACAGTCTCATTGAGGTGTTAGTTGTGGCATTGAGTTACTGTCTCATTGAGGTATCCCCAGTATCCTTCAATATTTAAATCTAAAGGGCCATTGAAAATTCTAAAATTAGAGCATTTTATTACAAAAAAGGTTAAAGCAAGTTATATCATTTATATTTAATATCAAAAGAATGTTCAATTTTCCAAAATTTAGTCATTCAATAAAAAAAAAAGCAACATCGTGCAAAGTATAACCCTACCCAAAACATTGACAAAAATTCCAGACTTGTAAGGGTATAATATAAATTCAAAGTAAAGTCAAACCAAGATGAATGCCCAACAGATCTTAAATTTGCTCACACCAAACAACTCAACATTTTATCAAAATCCTTAATGCAACAGCTGATAAATATGTGGGTTTTATAAGAATTCATCCTGGGAGATTATACAAATAAAGTTTAACAATATGTTTCAAATTTTCTAACATGTAATAATTTTTTTTAGATACAGTGAATCTTTTTTTCAGACTTTAAAGGACATGTCAAATCATTCTCATTTTGTTTAACTGATAAGACTTAGTAAAACAAGAATATATATCCATAGTACACCATTGCTCTGCTCCCACTATCGCATGTCCATGGTCAGTGAACTACAATATCTTGATCAAAACCCTATTTTGATATATTTGTTGAAGAGTTTACATCATAATAAACACCTGTACTAAGTTTAAAGTTGATGTGACCAAAATTTGATAATAAACTACTTTAACTAAAAACTAGTTGGATTGACTAACAGATAGAGGGAATAAAGATTGACACACAGACCAGATAACATAATGCCCTGTACTATTATAAACAATTCTCATTTTGCTTAACTGAGAGGACACGTCAAATTAAACTCATGTTGTTGAACAGAAAAGACATACCAAATTACACTCATGCTAATGAACAGAAATAAGTCATGTAAAACAACATTCTTGTTGCTGAAAAGAAAGGTCATGTCAAATTAAGCTCATGTTGCTGAACAGAAAGCTTATGTAAAATAATATCCTTGTTGCAGATCAGAAAGGACATGTCAAATTACACTCATGTAGCTGAACAAACAGAAAGAACATGTCAAATTACACTCAAGTTGCTGAACAGAAAGGACATGTCAAATTGCACTCATGCAGCTGAACATAAACAAAACGTCAAATAACATTCATGTTGTTGATGGTACACTCATTTTGCTAAACAGAAAGAGCAAGTTTAATCACATCATGTTGTAGAATAGAAAGAACACATCAAATTACACTGATGTTGCTGAACAGAAAGAACATGTCAAATTAAACTCATGTTGTTGAACAGAAAGAACTTCCTCGTTCTTAAAGTAAATTTGTTAATAATTGAGACTATACTTAAAACAAATCAATGATTTCACTAAACTTTTCGTTCATTTAAAATGATAAATAAGCTGTAATTTCCAATCTTTTGGTACTTTTTGAACATTTTTATACTGAAGAACAGATATACAAAAAACAAATATATATAAACAAAAAATACTTCACAAACTAACATCTTAAAAGTATCTGTAAGAATCAGACTGTGGTCTTTGTTGTTGAGGACCTAATGGTCCAGCACCTTGCGACTGAGGTGGTGGTCCAGGCCATGGTCCTCGTGTACCATGCCCAGATTGCTGTCCAAACTGAGGCTTTGAAGTACTATCATCAAAATGTCCATGAGGAGATGAAAATCTTTGGGGAGGAGCAGCACTTCCTGCCATTGATATATGTTGTGGCGGTGGACCACCAGGATGCATAATTGGTGGTGGCTGCGACATAGATAGATTAAGTCCAGATGTTGTCATTATGGTTGGAGGGGATGAAAATCTTGATAATGGCCCAAGATTTAACGGAGGAGCAGTGTATGAGCAAGGAGGTCCTTGATGCATGGCAGTTGACTGGGAAAACATTGGTGGTGGCATGCCAGGAGGTGGCAATGATGTTTGAAATGTCACAGCTGGCATGCCCATTGGTGCATTCAGATAGTTCTGCCTTCTATAGTCTGTGTCCTCATGTATAGGTATAGAAATTAGGTTACTTCGTCCTTGTTGCATCATTGCTATATTAGCCTGATAACCTTCGATCTGTGATTGTGTAGGTGGCTGTTGTAAAGGCTGTGAAATTAGAGGAGGTTGATGGATACCTCCCATTGTTTGTGGCAGAGTAGGAGGAGGGAGATGTGTAGGTACTACTAGGGGCTGGCTCTGGCCTCTAACTTCCTCGGACCTACGTGGGTATGACTCTCCTTGAAGAGGGGGTCTAGAGCTAGCATCTCCATCATTTCTGACTGATGAATACATTTCATGCTGAGATGAAGTTTTAACTGATGATTTCACAGATTCTTTAGGTGTAGATGATTTTGCATTTTCTGCAGCTTCCTTCAAATGACGATGGTTTACATGAGCCTGTAAGTCTCGCTGTGATAGGTAAGTTCTACGACATCCTGCTGCTCCATGTTTGGCTCCTCCATAACTACAGACATACACAGTCCCTAAGGCTGACTGTTCAATTCTTTGGACTGGTTCATCACATCTGTAATTAATGAAGCAATTTAAAACATTTGTTAATAATTCAGCATCTTTTGCCTAATAGTATATTTACATTTTTCAGCTCAACTCTTTATTTGATTTTTCTGTCAGTGTGACTGTACCTGAATAACCTGGGAACACTTGTTTCATTTCGATGTGCAAATACATTGTCGAATCACATATTTAGTAACTGTTACCAAGGTAATAAACATTACTTTTGAGTTAGACACACATTTTAACTGGTTTACCTGAGATCACACATTAATTTGCATGGGGGAAATAACCTAAAAAAAATTGCATGTGAATTAGCCTCAATAGCAGAATTCTCTCTAAACATGAGGTTTTTCATGAAAAACCTCTAATTTTCAAAAGCTAACAAAATTTGATGCCTTTATTTTAAGGAGAGTGATCACATGTTTTTAGACAAAATCTGGGCTACAGGAAAACACAAGGGTTAAAACTTGAAGCATTCCAAAAATTGTGTATCCATTTTTTATGAATGCTTAATATGGTTTATTTTAATTTATTTAAATATCTCACTGTATAAAGACTTGTTCAAAGGTTAAACTTAACATTTCAAAAATCCCTTTTTAACCTGAGAAATGCTTATGGGTATAAACAAAACATTATACAATGGGATATTTTAAATAAAAGAAGAATGTGTCTGAGGACACGAATGCCCCTGCTCAAGCTTTGCAATTTTCCAAAGTTAAAAAAGGCCATAACTCTTGAACGGTAAATGACTCACAACCAGAATTTGAACTCTGTCTGCATGTTGTGGTTCTCAGCATTGTGTATGAGTTTCATACAATTTGCATGAGGCAAACTAAATGGGACGGACAGATGGAAAGATAGACGGACAAGGGTAACACTTAATGCCCCCATTGCCGATGGCGGGGGCCTAATTAAAATAAATGGAGAATGTGGCTATGGGACACAGATGATGTCCCCACTTACATATAATGTTATAAAGGGGCATAAAAGTGATGCCACCCAAATTTTATCTTGATCTGTGTTTTGTGGTAATAAGCATTGAGTACAAGTTTCATGACATTTGGTTGAGGCAGCCAAAAGTTAGAGAACGGAAACCAATTTTGGGACATACCCACGGACGTATGGACAAGGGTAACACTTAATGTCCCCACCGTCATAAAAATAATGCATTTGTTTTTGATGTATCAACCAATCTGTTTCCTAGTTGGTAGTGAAAAACGTCAAAAATCAATGTTTTACGGCCTAATAATCTATGATGTTACGGTTTATTTCAACGTTTTATGGTCTTTTTTCACCTATGACACCACTTTGAATGATGTTTACCGCTAAAACAAAGTCAGTGACCCTATAATTATTTTACATCATTAAATTGGAAATTTATGTACCAACAACACATGGTTTTTTTATAGAAAAATTTATGAATTTTAAATTGGAGATTTGATGCTTTTAAGACAAATTTAAGAACATTTTTCTCTGATTTTATGTGCTTTCTATACAAATGTTCACCTATTTTAAAAGAATTCAATCAGTCATAATTCAGATAAATGGGGAATGTGTCCATAGCACACAGATGATGCCCCCGCTTGTATATCATATAAAGTTATAAAGGGACAAAACCGAAGAACGTTAAAAGTGACTCTAAAATGGTTAAAGTAACGCCACCAAAATTCAAACTTGATCTGTGTTTTGTGGTAATAAGCATTGTGTATAAGTTTCATAACATTTGGTTGAGGCAAACTAAAGTTAGAGAATGGAAATCAACTTTAGGAGGAAGGACAGACGTACTTACAGACGGACAAGGGTAAAACTTAATGCCCCCTCCGCCACGGAGTGGCCATAAAAAAAAATGTTTATTTTTTTCACCTGTTTTACCTGCTCAAGTTCATTTTGGCATTTTAATACAGAGAACTTATGACAATGACCAATGTAGTTAAACTTCAGGGACACCTAAGGGAAAAGTGAAGGAGACCAAAGGTGTGTATGATTAAGCATTCTTGTCTTAAAAATCCTTAAATAGACCCTTAATTTGAAATATAGTCTCAGATACAGGAGATACAAGTATCTGGTTGATATGCTTGATTTGCAATCTTAATTGCTTTGGAGTTTAGTATTTTTGTTATAACTCTATTAACATGTTAGAACAATTTTTCCCTGAAATTTTGTTCAATTTTTGTTTGTTAAACATTGAATTCCAAAGCATGTCTTAAATTTGTAAATCTTTAATACTAACAGTAAACTTGGTAGATTTTTTGTATGTTATTGGAGTTCAGAAATATCACATTCACACCTATTCCATGTTTTTAACAAAAGCGTTTCAACGCTCCCTGACAATGCACATTTTTATGTGTCCAATGGTAATAACTCAAAAAAAGGTTAATTGGCGTTTTTTAAACTTTCAATAAATATCCTACAAAAACTAGAAATGTAGCATGAGATCACTAAAAATGTTATTTTCTTTATAATTTCTATTTCAAAGAGGCAAAACTCCTGTAAAAATAGTTTATTGGTTTTTGAACTCCTCCAAGACCTTCCTGGTATAAACCTTTGATACAATTTCCATAAAAATCCTACAAGAAATGAAGGTGTGAGAGTGCAATGATCAATATACAATACATTTAAAAGAGACATAATTATGGTAAATAATCTTGATCAGCACACAGTTTTCAAACATGTTCCAGACGTTGCTGATATTAACCTTTGATATAAATTATAACATCATACAGCTTCAAAAATTGATGTAGTTTGCATTTGCAAAAAAAAGTGGATTATCAAATGGTTTGATTAAAACAGATTAACTTTACTCACCTGCTACACATCTTATCAGTTTTTCGTGCACAATCTAGACAGAATACATGCTTGCATGGAATCTACAAAACAGATCATTCTAAAAAACATTTATCTGCTTTTCTACCACAATCTATGCAGAAAACCTGCTTGTATGGATTTATAAAACAAATTATTCTTACAAATGTTTATCTAGACAGAATACATACTTGTGACGTTTTAAGAAATTTACAGTTGGTATTGACATCTTATCTGTAAATATAATGCTTCTCAAAACATCTTTTAAAATGATGACGGTATCCATATTTATCATCCTACCTATAATAATGTTAATAGAACTAAAACACTGAACAAATTATTCTTTAAGTAAATTTCTAAAATCAATCAATAGCAAAGTGTGACTGACTAATTGAAAGTAATTCTATAAAACTGTTTTTTTTCCCAATGGTCTGACTATTTTAAATACTTTCTGGCCTCTTACATATACTGCCAATTCCAATTAAACTTTATAATGGGACTTATGAAACCTGTTACATGTTAGGTGCACAGTGCAGGTTTTTTATTGAGTGTTTTTGTTTTGCAACATATGGTCTTGATAGGCAAAAGGGGGCAGGGGTTGTGGACAGATAAAACTGGTTTAACACCACCACATTTTATGCCTGTACCAAGTCAGGCTCTCTGGACCATGTCTTGTTTGTTGTTTGTTTTTTCAGAGGAGCCAGATGTTGGTGGTTGATGTTGTCTGTTATACTGTCCTGTATTTTTGTCAATTCCCTAATTCATGTACTATTACAGAAACCCCAACAATTCTTAAAGTTTTCAAATCTTCATCATTATCATAAACCAATTATCACTACACTGAAGTGTCATAATTATGATGAATAGTATCTAAACTGGGAATAACTCTGACCTGACAAATAGTGGAAATATATAACTATTAATTTTAGTGGTTGGTTTCTATTAAAACTAGCCCTAATCAGTTACTAAATTAAAAAAATACCTTACCATCCTTCCATACAAAAGTATTGGGACATGACAAAGTTCACAGCAGTGAATCAATGGATCCACTACTTTTTCTCCAATCAGGTTTACCTGAAAAAACAAATTCAACCATATCATTATATCCAATAGATAATTTTAAGTTCTTGTGAACAAAAAATTAAAGGAACATAAAGGCCGTACGATGAACTATAGTTGTTAATTTCTAAGTCATTTGGTCTCTGGTGGAGAGTTGTTTCATTGGCAATCATACCACATCTTCATATTTTTATATTAAATCATTCATCTACATAATCATGATAATACTATTTATCAAATTAGCACAGAAAAGAGAGACAAAAGACTAGAATGAATAAACTGCTTCGCCGAGCGCAGCTGGATACGACCTCAGATGTCCAACCCTGAACAGTAAGGGCAAAAATGGACACAATATTCAAGCTTGATAAGGTCTGAATTTGGATTGTAATTAAATATTTTACACATTATAGGTTTCTGACACAGAATAAATGTAGTCAAATAACTTGAAAATTGGTTATATGATTTGAATTTATATTCAGTTGAAGATTTCTTGCTGTTGTGCAATACCTAGTAAATCTGTTTTCAGACTATATACAAAGAATTAGCAAAATAAATTGTGACCCCCAATTTGTTTCTTTGGAAAATTGATAATTTCTTAAATCTTGAGGAAAAAAAATTGACCTCCCCCAAAAAAAAAATTTTTTTTTACCCCCTCCCCTCCAAAAAAAAATAATATTTGAAGAAATTTTCTTTTTAATTTCTCAAATCTTGAGGGAAAAAAATTGACCCCCCCAAAATAGTTTTTTTAACCCCCCTTCTCCAAAAAAATTAATAATATTTGAAGAAATTTTCTTTTTGTAAAATGTGGTACAATTTAAGAGACATCCGAACACAAGTTATTGTCTGAAAACTAAAAAAATGCTTGTTTTGGCACCTTTTTGGCCCCTAATTCCTGAACAGTTTAGGCAATTACCCCCAAAATGAATCCCAACCTTCTACTTGTGGTATTGAACCTTGTGGTACAATTTCAGAGCAAACAAAATACTTCTACACAAGTTATTGTCCTGAAACTAGAATAAATTGCTTCGCCTGGCGCAGCTGGATACAACCGCAGAGGTCCAACCCTGGCCAGTTGGGGCAAAAATGGACACACTATTCGCGCTTGATACAGGTCTGAATTTGGATTGTAATTAAATATTTGACACTTAATAGGTTTCTGACACAGAATAACTGTAGTTAAAGAACTTAGAATTGGTTATATGATTTGAATTTATATTAAATTTTTTGCTTTTGTGCAATACACTATGCTGTTACCAATAGACTATTTTCATATTACCTACTTTTGACTCGGGATTATATAATTTGTCGACTGGTTACCTTGGACATCATGGTACCAAGTCAGGTAAGAGCAAGCTAAAGAAGTAAAACCAAGCGTTCAATCGGTACAATTTTGGGGGAAAATTTTTGATATTTTTTAAACACTTAAGTGTCTACTTCAGTCGATTCATTAATTTTTTTGTAAAAGATTTTTAACTGATATGGTCATTAAAGACGCTGAAATTCAAGCTTAAGTATGAAAATCTATCAATTATGCCATAAAACGTCACTTTTCAGAAGTTTTTTCTCTATAATGAAAGTGGCCGCATTTGTGTTCAGTCTCAACCTTTATATATGTGATGTTATATCATCAAATACAACATATATCTAAATATCAAGACTGAACACAAGTGCGGCCATTTTCAATTTAGACAAAAACCTCTAAAAAGTAGCACAAATGTTAAAATTGTGAAGATTTTAATAATTTTGCATGAATTAATGATGCTAGTACCTGATGCATGTGCATTGTATTGTCAAAAACAACCAATATTTATGTAACGCATGTATTATGCTTTCCAATAAATAGCTAAAAGCTTAAACTTCAACAAATTTGTAAAAATGCTATATTTTGGGGCCAAAATGGGGTCTTACCGGGCCTACTCCTTTCATAGAAATCAATGAACTATACTCAAGTTATTGTCTGCGAACCAAAATGTCTTCAGATGCAGTAGCAGACAACACCATAACATAATACAAATGCAAATAAATTTGCGGTCATATAAAAATAAATATTGCAAAGAACTAAATATTTTGTTTTCTGCAATTCTATGAACAGATAATTTTGAAATGACACTGATTTCTAAAAAGTTTAATTTCATGACTTCCCTAATTCAAGTATTCTCTATGTCTCCTCATACATATAATAACATGAATCCCATTTTCCTTTTAAAAAATAATAATTTTATGGTCAGGTAAAATTACTTTGCTATTCCACTTCAGATGACCATTCTGGTGCAATGGTTCTCCTGGTCCTTGTTTAAATATTGGAGGTTCTATTAGGTCATCTTCTCCTGAAATAACAATGATATGTACATTATTCTAGTGTTGTGATTCCATATGTGTTGGTCTGTGGCTTAAAATTAGAGGATATGTCTGCTCTTATCTTCATAAACATAAATATATAGTATTTATCTATACAAAATATTTTACATAAATACTTAATTTTAAACAGTTTAAACAATTCAGGTGAATCTGTTTAATGTACAATGTAGTACAAGTTGTTCATATACAATATAAAAAAGGTTTATATAATATTCAGACCATGTAAGTATAATAACCCTAAACTAGATGTGTCAGAACGACATGTATAGCCCTGATCAAAAAAAAAACCTTGAAGCCATTTATAGGAGTGGAAATTTTCAAAGTTCAAAGCCAGAAATTTTGGCAAAAATCAGCAGATCAGAACCAAACGTAGACTTGATCTGCAACTCTTCATAGTAGACTCATAAAATAAAAATCAGCTCAATATGTGAAGGCATTTATAAAAAAAAGTCTGTTTAACTGTTACTTTCATGAAATTTTCAAAGTACAAAGCCCATTTTTTTGGCAAAAATCAGTGGAGCTGAACCAAACGTAAACTCAATCTGTAACTTGTCATAGTAGACTCACATACTAAAATCCATCTCAATAGGTGAAGGCATTTAGAATAAACTGCTTCGCTGAGCGCAGCTGGATACGCCCACAGAGGTCCAACCCTGAACAGTTGGGGCAAAAATGGACACAATATTCAAGCTTGATACAGGTCTGAATTTGGATTGTAATTAAATATTTGACATATTATAGGTTTTTGAATAAATGTAGTCAAAGAACTTGAAATTGGTTATATGAATTGAATTTATATTCAATTAAAGATTTCTTGCTGTTGTGCAATACACTGTGCTGTTGCACAATGCTTAGTAAATCTGTTGTCAGACTATAAACAAATGAAATCTTATAACTCAGAAGCCTAAATTCGAAAATTTATAAAAATCAAAAGGGAGCTTACAAAAATAGATATAAACAATTGACCAAAGTTTCATAAAAAATGCTGAAAGCATTTTTGAGTTATTTTCCGAAAACTGGAAAATCCCCCTTTTTGTAATGAATAAAACCCCATAAATCGGAAACATATAGTCTAAAATTTATACAAATCAAAAGGGAGCTCATGTCGATAGAAATAAACAATTCATCAAAGTTTCTTGCAAATTGTTGAAATTGTTTTTGAGTTATTGTCTGAAAACTGGAAAATCCCCCCTTTTTTAATGAATAAAACCCCAAAACTCGCAAACGGTAAATCCGAAATTTATAAAAAACGAAAGGGAGCTCACGTCAATAGATATAAACAATTAACCAAAGTTTCATGCATTCTGGGTAAAGCGTTTTTGAATTAATGTCCGACATGTTGACGACGGACGGACGGACAGACGGACGGACGGTCAACGGTATACCATAATACGTCCCGTAAACGGGCGTATAAAAAAAGGCTGTATAACAGTTATTTTCACAAAATTTTCAAAGGCTTTGACATGTTATATTGAGGGCCTCAGGGAAGATAAGTGTTATAGCTTACTGTGTTACCCTCTTTAAATAAATAAATCATTATTATTATATGTGAACATGTTGAACAATTCTATGGATTTCAACTGATTAGGCAAGCAGAATATGGAGTCTTTTAATAATTCTAATTGTTTTCCCTGATATTTATTGGATACTATTTTACGTTGAAAGGAATTTTTGGTAGCTTTGGTCAATAAACACTAAATTCCTTACACAGATTTCTTTGGAACTGTATAAGAATATGAAGAACAAATTTTAATTGCTATCACTGTGCTAGAGTGTTTTCTCAGGGTTTTTCTAAATGGAGGTTGGTGACAACTTCCAGGTGTCAACTTTATTCAAGGACAGTATTGTGCTGTGTAATGTGGTAAAATGAAATACCCACCAAATTCTTCTTTTTCTTCCACAACTTGGACCTTTTTCTGTTTAGGTGGTGCTGATGTTTTCCTGGGACGACCTCTTGGTCTTGATGGCTGCTTTAGTTTTATTGCTATATTTTTCTTCACACTCCTTCCTCCAAGACCAGTACAACTGTCTCCTTCTGAGTCAAGTTCTAATTCTAAAATAAAGAATATTGTGTGTTAAATTAATTGGTGGTATTTGGTCTACTGGTGTCTGAACTTTCACTATACCAAACATATTTTTGGGAAAATACTATGTACAAGGTGCTTTAGTTAAAATTCACTCTTGTTGGTGTAGAGTGAATCACTGTAAAATACATGAAATAGGAGGATTGCTGGTAATGTAATATTTACATTTATACAGTATGCAGCGTTCTGCCCAGGGTGCATTTTTGCATATTTCAGGCATCTTTTTTTTTAATACGGTAGAAAAATCAATAAAATTTAAAAAAAAAAAAAAAACAAATCGGGAAAACTTCCCAAAATTTTATTCTACTAATGAACTCAAAATCTTTAACTTTTTTATTTTCAGATTTTTTTGTTATCCCGCATTTGCGCAGAAATCTACTTCCTTTTTCCGGTCTCGTTTGCATGAGTCTTTGAGTAAAATAAATATTTATCAGTCTAGTAAAATATAGGAAGGAACGCAATACCAATTTCATTTTTTAATAATTCCTTGAATGGCTTGATATGAAAAACCGTTACCTGATGATAGCGTTTCTTTGTTTACATTGAATATGACGTCATAACATAAATAACGTAACAACTAAAATCCCTAACAACAGAACAGAAATCAGAAACGTTACGGTATTTCCGTTTCTTTTTTAACAGATTTTGAAGTTAAAATATGTTTGAATTACAAAAAATAATTCATACAGAGTTCGTCCCCTTTCACAGGTAATGCCTGCCTCATATTTTTAAGGTATTATTTTTGGGGAGGGGGTTTGGGGCAAATTAAAATCAAAAGAAATAAACTTAAGGTAGCTGTTGTTGTCTTACTACATCTTAGATTTTGAAATTTATCAAACAGAAGATAACTATAATTTGGTCTACAGCGTCAATGAAATGACAAATGTGCAAATTTCGAAAGTAGTATGTATCCTCGATGATTGGAAGTTCGTTACCCTAACTCGAAACGGAAGAAAAAAATCTCAACCTTTGAGCAAATATTATCCACTGTGGATGTAAATATTCTTTACTTATTTGCAAATAGTCTGATACATTTTATTGATGATTAGCTTCAGAAACATGGTCAATCTTTCTATGTTTCGTATTGTGACCCGATTCCGTAAAATAAGTAGACATGCTTGTAAGTTCGTGACCTTTGTCTTTGACAGTGGCTTTTGCGCATGTGCAACACTATATAGGTCAGGCCTATTGTATTACGTATTTGAACATTACAGAATAAATTTGAGATCAAATAACAAACGAATATCTCGAAAAAAAAGGAGAAATTTGGACATACTAACTTTTTATTCTCCCTACAAAGATTATTCTAATTTTTACACGTGACTTCAATGGTTAATTGGAAAGTCCAGATTAAACACTTTAACCACGTTTAAGATAACTATAACGATGTCACAATGTCATTAATGCATCAAAGTATTTTTTCAATCAATTTGCATTCAATGGCATACACTACGCACAGAGAGTTTGTAATCACGAACCCTTATCATGGATATCGGAGTGTAGCGGTGTCACACCGCGAATCACGGATTATACTCCCAATTTCCTCCAAAGATTCTCTCCCAACACCGTGTGGCTGTTAATTGGTTTATTGCCCATCAGATGTACTGAAAATTACTGACGCGTGACATTATTCTTGTATGTATTTGCCCCATGTCATTGTCATTTGAAATAAAACGTACAAACGTATAAAAATACGAATAAAACACTTATTTTGTATTTTTATTATAGTCCGGTCAGGTCATAATTTTTGTTTTTTCAACAAAGACGATTTTACTACAATTAGAATCTTTTATGACCTACTCAGTGAGCAATATCCGGTTCATTAATTGTTCAATATATAAATATCAACTGGCTTAAAACAAAATGATGTTTTTACGGTCATTTGTCCAATCTAAACCCAAGAGTTAATTTATCGGATCAACAAGTGAACTCTGTTACTTTCAATTTATTTTGCAAAGTAAAATATTATGTTTCACTACCTCGGTAGATTACCGACTTGAAATATTTGAACTCAGAAAAGAAACTGTAAAGTGACAATTCTGTTGAACGAAGGGAAAACGTTTTGTATGCAATGTGCCCTATATTCATAAAAACACAACACTGAGAGACATTCCCCGCCCAGACACAACACAATAATCACAACCTAATTTAATTATATGAAGAAAAAAAAATCATGTGTTGTTTATCTCTGTTATGATCTGTTATTGATCCTTTATTATTTAAAATAAAATTGGATGGGCGCAATCTGTATTTTACTGCTCGTTAAAAGTCCTTAGCGAAATAAAAAAAAGAAGTATTTCAACAATTAATACTATAGAATATTTAAATGAAATTATATCGTGTTCTACAAGAAAGAAATATGTGAAAAAAATGTGGATCGGATTTTAACGATCTACACATTTTCACAGAGGATCTCTACCAACGCCCAACAGGAACTGAACGACATGCATCCTGTTTTCATCTACCATTTATGTATATTGTTGACCATGGACGAATAAATAATGTCCAGGTTTATGTCCTGTGTTGACTGAGAAACATAAAATTAAAAGGCTGGTGTTCGTTTATTCAGAAAAGGATTATATTTTAGATTCCGGTTAATCAATTGTAAAAGGACCTTCTAGAGCCTCAATCTTAAGGCATACAAATGTCAATCATTCCAAAGCAAATTTAAACCCCGAATGAATTTTCCCAGGGTCATCCAGAAAGGTCACCTGAGTTTACTGTTACGTGATAATATTTCCCGCCAAATAAAAATCTCGTGGACAAAATTGATGTCACTGTTTTTAGCATTCAATATTGTGAGCGAAGTCAAGTTCAAAGTTCAACCACGGACTGTTGATCACTGAGATGTGTATCGTCTTCCCACGGTAATTAATTTCTTTTAAAAATTTTTAAAATCAGTCCTTTATACAACACACAAGTTTACATTCATTGTGCGTAAATGAATATTATGCAACGACGAGTTGATGCAGCTATAGAAGTATTCCTGTTGTAGCCGAAATGTAATTATTTATCCTAAAGTAATGCCGTAGACTTATCAAGCATAACGAATGGTGAATAGTATTTTCTTTTTTACTTGCATATACAAATTTTGAGAAACGTAATTTTCTTTAAACTGCTCACTTTTATATTCAGCGTTAGTTTCCGTTTATTTTTACGCAAGTATGTCTCTTTTCGAAAATAAAATAATTTACCGATGAACTTAAACAAGGTCAAAATCAAGTATATTTTTGTTATAAAACTTTAATGCAATTGAAAGAATTAACAACAGCATTCTGCTTTTAAATCTTTAATTTGTTTCAAGCAATTATGTAATCGTAAAATGAAATTGGCGTGGACTTATTAGCATAACGAATAGTGAATAATATTTTCTTTTTTACTTGTATACAAAACTTTGAGACATGCTATTTTCCTTTAAACTGCCCACATTTATCCGTTTATTTTTACACAAGTATATCTCTTTTGTAAATTAAATATTAATTTACTGACCAGAAAAAAAACGAGGTAAAAATCAAATATAGTTTTTTTTTAATAAAACTATTTTTAAATGCACAGTGTAATTGAAAGAATTAACAACAACTTTTTTACTTTTAAATCTTTTATTTGTTTCAAGCAATCAGAAATATAACCTGATTATCAATAGACAGGAAATACAATTGTTTAATTACATAAGTAATCTCACATACCTTGACTATCGCATGCCGGTATAGATCAGAAGTATTAGGGCAATTAATTACCTGGTGTGACACCGCATCACACCTGACTGGGAGAGATGTCGCTAATACAATAAACAAAAGGTAGCGATTTACGCGGAAGCCGGAGGAAATACTCCCAAATTTCTAAAAATTATTCACGAAATTTGTACTGTAGGATTAAATTACATTTACGAGCCTATATTCGGCAGGTTTTGTTTTCATCAAAATATATTAAATCATTTTCTGATCTTACAAAAATCCACTCACATACAGACTTTAAAAAATAATACTCTTGGCCTTAAAAAAGGAATAAGAGGCCACATAACCTAAAAATTGATGATGACTCATTGTTGAGATGTCAATAACATTACTGAAAGGATTTTTCCCAAGAATTCAACGAAATTCTAAGAGAGGAATAAAACAGTAGTAGTGGAAATAGACGTTTAAACAAAAAATATGCTAGAACATACACAACTTCTCTTTTTCAAGCCGATATTAGTGAAAATGCAATGAAAAATATTCAGTGAAGTTTTTTGAGGTAGCATGTTGCCGATGATAAATACGTTTGAATGACGTCACGAATAAAGTGGAAATCCCCAAATGTCACGAACTTGCAATCATCGACGATAATTCATGAGCCAAGGATAGGACTTTAAAATTCGATAATTTATCTATCTCGATTGGATAAAATCCGATAATCAACTGGACCCAATGTAAGAATCTATATTTATCAATAGTTTGTAATATATATTTTAAAATCTCATAAATTATTTCGACCAGGTTTTTACTACAATTTGTTGTTTTTTTGTTTAAATGGGCCTAATGTTATTCTTGTCATAGGAAATTTTCAGAGTATCATGTCATAAAATTTCTGGCAATCTCTTTAATGCTGCATCGCTTTTTTTTAATATTCCAGCTCTAGTTTAGAGTGCATGCATTACCTTCATCCGCCATTTTCCTTAATAAACCGAAAGTAGAAACAGACAAGCTTTTCTATTGGCTTATTAAATTTGGAACTTTAACGAGAACTTTGATTCGCTATTAAAGCTATATGCATGCAGTTGTTGGGTTCTGTAATCAGCTGAAAAATAAAATTTATTAAATGTTCCAAAACTGGACGATACAATTTTAGACGATACCTCCAAAATAGAGCAAAGTCCAAAGAAGAGAAAGCACACAGGCGAAGTGTGCGAAGAACAACACAAGAGACAAAAGACACTTGATGTCAATGAGACAAAAGAAATGTCAACAAAGATGAGAGAAATGTCTGATGAAAAGCAAGGTTCAACAGCCAGAGCAAATTTTAAAAGTACATCTCATTCTCTTGCACTTATTAAACAACCATTCACTTATAAAATAATAGGGTTAAATCTGCACATATAACTTTTCTATAAAAATGTCTATGTCATATCAACATCAATGATTGGATATTTAGGAGCTACATGAATATCTTTGAGATTTATCAGCACCTGGCAGTCGAACTGCAGATCTTTGCCTGTGCTGATTTCTTGTTTTGTGAAAAAACAAATATATATACAATGTATATATCCTCAGTTATGACACACCTGTATCCAGGACAACTCTGAAAACAGACTCTTTAGTGATCCTTTTAATCAGCATGACTTTAACACATGAAAATATGAATACTAAAAATCCAGGCTAAAAATAAAGCATAGGTACTTCATTGTTGTGGGTGTGTTCTAGTATAGTATAGTACTATATACATGTGATATATGTCTCTGCATACACAACTGTACAAGCCGATTCTTCTATATTGATTCATTATTGTATTACTGGGCTGGTGAGACTTGGGCCAAATCAACTTGGACCCTGAATGACGTAATACCTAACCTTTGAACATGTTGAAAGAGGATGAAGTCGGTATAAATTATTATTTAAACACTGATTTTTGCAAGATACAGTAAAATAGACAAGGCCATCAATTATTTTACATTTTAGAAATTATGACATTAAAAAATACCAAAAATCACAATCATTTAAAAAAAACAAGATAAATTGATGTGATAATCACGTTTTGACCATTGAAGAAGAGATCAAGCGAACCACACCTTGATTCTTAATGAAAATAAACTGGTCAGGGAAAGTACCAATTGGCTAAGAATAAAAGAAAGTAGAATCCGCTGATACACTCTTTCAGAATAGTTTGTCATGGTTAAACTTATTTTTTGTGCAAATGAAAGGGGGCATATCAATGAAATTTTATTTTTACATTTACAAGGTGATAACCACTTAAGGCCTAGGGCAAAGTAGTAAGTAAAAGTAAAGGATTCTTTTATATTCTCATTCATGATGAATTTACCATGTATTTATACATTTTAAATTTTTTTTTGAAAAAACACTCACCAATGTTGTACATAACTTTATTTTCTTAGCTTTTGTTTGTTTGTTTGTTTTTGATAGGAAATATAAAGTTAGGAGATGTGGAATGATTGCCAATGAGACAACCAACCAACTGAGTCCAAATGAAGGGATTTTAGCAACTAAATGTTTTTGTACAGCCTTCAACAATAAGGAAAACCCATACCCTATAGACACCTATAAACAACCCTGACATGGCAAAATTCAAAACAAAAAAACAACTGCATTATTGACAAAACAATAAATGACAAACAAATATGACAATTTTTATGATAGACAGTAACCAACAACAACCACTGAATTACAGACTCCTGACTTTCCGACAAGCACATACAGAATGTGAGCACTCAACCTTTCCCTGACCTATGACAGTGGTGTTACAGCAAGAACAAACTGTAAGAATCAATTGAATATGGCTTTACTCATCAGATGATGCATGAAGCAGAAAAACAACTTACTTAAAGACAAAAGACACAAAGTGATGATCTAAGCTTTCAAAGGCAATAACAATCAATAGATAAGTTTGTTCTCCCAGAGTAAAAAAGAATGGTATTGCTAAATGACCACAGGTTAAGCTTAGCTGCATTTTAAGGATTTTTGATAATGTTGATATATTACATTTCATTCTTTATTACTATATATTTTGATATGGTACAGATACCTTTATTAAAGTAAATTTTCATTTTAGTATCAAATTTACTTTCATAGAACTTTCCTATACCTGGAAGCAGTCAGAAGATGAACTTATTATGGTATTTGATGAAGAAGGTTTAACACCAAATCAGAAAGATTTGGATATATCTTTTGGTGATCAGTATGTCCTCATAAAGTTTCCAGGTATGATATTGTCTATTTTTTTTCTTTTCAACACTTGTATACCAAAATACTACTGGCATAGTACATTGTATTCAGAGCCCAACAAACATCTGATTTTTTGAGACAAGTAAAATATTTTCATTTTATTAAAACTATCATGACTATAGAAAAGTTTTCAAAATTATTTTGAGATATTATTTCAAGTAAAAAACACCCATGATGAGGATGAAAACAACAAATTCAAGTAAAAGACATTAATGGTCAAGACGAGAACAACAGTTTTAATCAGAAATAGATCGATAAACAAACAGTAAAAATTAAGTAAGCGTACCTATGTTTCATAAACATCAATGATAACTTTGTTCATTGACCTTGGATTGTCAATCTAGTTTTGAAAATGAGACACCAGAGTGTTGATTATAATGAATGAAAACAAAACAGACGAATGAGATGAATAAACATCCCTAAACAGGGAAAACCTTATAAAAAAAATATAAATTTTGAGGCAAGAAACTGAAATCACAGGTGGAGGACAAAAAATATGAAAAAAACATAAAGGAGAGAATTTCAAAATTCTATGGTGTTCTGATTTCCCCAGGGTATCTATGGTAAATTATTCATTTTTGTCTAATTTGTTCAAAACACCCACAATTGGCTGACTAAAAGTATGGTTTATTGTGTGAAACTAATAATTCTATTATTAATCTCTTGATGTTTACAGTAAATGACTTCTTTCAAGATTTATTTGGAAAGACAGGGCAAGTAACTTTTCTTCGGAACTAGTACTTGTCTGGTGACAAGTGCTCACAATGAATATTTCCACACCCCTGTGCAAATCCCTCAGGAATTGATCATGCTTTACTTTTGATTATGAGACTGTGTAAAATATGAACCGAAGATTCCAAGTAATTCCCAAGTGTCTCATATAATAAGTTACATGCCTGTAATAACCAAGCCTTGTTATTACAGTTTAGTTTATCCCTTAAAAGCTTTGTCTCATTGATTTACCATGGTTGATCAAAAATGTATTGATTGAATTGAAAAATTAGTTATCAAGGTTATGTATTAAGTTACTGTGCAAAGTTTCAAGAATTCCCAAGTGCCCACTAAAAATAAAAATATTTATGATACATTTAACTAATAACAAAAATATGTTACTACAGATTAAGAAAAAAAGAGTAGACAACTCGTGAAAGTATCTGTAATAACACACGTATGTTATTTTTCTCTAATAACTAATTTAAGTTATACCCTTGACTGTTCATTGTTCACTGATCAAGGGAAAGTTTTGGTTTAAGGTAGTTCATCATGAAGAAGTGGCCACATCATCTGGAAACTGAGTACACATGTTTCATTATGATGTGAACTTTTAGAAATATATTCCAAAGTAGGGCTTGGACACAGATTTGTTTTACCTCTTTGCATGTTAAGAACCTTTGCAACAACTCTTTGACGGGTCCAGGTGGCCTATTGTTCATTTTCTGGTGACATTCCAAATTCCCTGCTCCTAATCTGGGTCGACCCCTATTTCCGGCCCTACCTATTGTTAATTTGTTCTCATCCTGAACAGGATTGAACTATTTGCCATTGGACTTAAAGCAAACATGCAACATGTGTCCTATAATATGGACACAGATTCTTGTTTAATCTAAATCTTGATCTAAATAAATCAGTAATTGTCAAGACTGGTAAATATGTATGACTGTTTCTAGATAAAACTGTGGAACATTAAATCACATTGCATTGAAACAGGCATATATAGTCACATGTAATGAGAGGAGAATCCCTATTACTTTTGATATCATTACTTCCAAGGTCAAGGTCAATGTTAATAAAAATAGTTCGGAATTATGGTAGAAATGGGGTTCCAAGATGATTACAACAGGACCATACATGGAAACTTTGACATATATGGTCACATGCATGTATAAGTGGAGGGAGATACTTAATTATTTTTACCTGAATCCATCCAAGGTCAAGATCACAGATATAAAAAAGGTAGTGAAATTTGTGAATAACAGAACAATACAGAAAAGTGACAGAAGTTTGAACACTGCTTTGGAATAGATACAGACTATATAACACATGCAACTAGTTTTTAGAGGTTATAATGTCTTTGAAGATAAAGGCACCTGCATTTGTTCCCTGTTCACATAAAATGTATCATTACAAATTTGTAAATTAAAATGCTGACTCATATAGTTTATGCTGTTTTTTTCAGATGGAAAGAAGACATGGTCTTTAATATTTGCTGGAAATATTGATAAAGAAAATACTAAAGTACAATGGAAGAAGAAAAAATTACATATAATGATGAAGAAAAAATGTCCTCAGATTTGGTCATCATTAGAGGTAAGCAATATATTTAGCTCACTTATATGGAACATGTGATCAGAGGTTTTGTAATAGCTAAGTGTGTCATGCCTTCTTCATTTCTTAACAGGAAACACTACATTTTTGTCAATTTCTCATATGCAAGTATTGGCATTACTAACTGTTGGAAATTAGAATAGCCTCCCCAATTCTGACCAATGATAGATTTTTATAGTTTGTAAATGTCAACTTAATTCTAGTACCTCTGTAACCAATGTGAGGTTTAGTGTAAAGATTGTAGGCTTTGTGTTTGTATATATGTAATATTGTATTTTGTCTTGCCTTTTTTGGTATTAAAGGAATACCTTATTTTATTAGAAAAAATTAAATTTTGTAAATTGCTGTCTTTATTGTTCCATTGGGTCCTTTACATTATCATGGTCAAGTTATAGTTTTGAAGAGTTACTGTATCAATATTTAGCCTAAAATTCTAGCAAGAAATCATTTTCTAATTCAAAATTTAAAATATCCTGGTGTGTAGAAATTTTCTTTCATGGCAATATAAAAAATTGGTAGTTTTTTATTTTCAAGTGACATCATATGTTAATAAGCTGAAATAAAGATGACATATTAGCCTTAACAATTATTTTCAGTTTAGAAATGTATTTATAGTGTTAACCATTTTATTTATGAGTTGCATGTTAGTTTATTGTAGTATTATTAATTATTCATTTAAAAAAAATATAGATAATTTTGATCTTCTTCAGAGAGTTCTGAAAAAGCTTCAATCAGAACCCTGTTCTGAAGATATATCAGAGGCCAAAAAGACTGATCAAAGTTCTGTGTCTTCTACTGAAGTTATGACCTCTGGTCAGGCGTCAGATGACACACCTTCCCCAGACCAAATGAGTACCAGCGAGGCTACTGGAGAAGATTCAGGACAGGGAGATACTCAAACATCAGATGAATATTGTGTTGATAAGGACAAAGAAGAAGGTACTCATCAGACTTTTGCAAAATACAGTGCATCTTTATGTGTAGGTTGTGAAGCAGAATACAAGACATAGGGATGTTACTATTAATGCCCCTGCCAAGATGTGATGGACATATACATGTAGTTTTATTCTCGCATGTGCATACATTCCTAAATTGAATTCCCTATGCTGATTTGAGTAAGATTCCACAAAAACATTAAATTAGGATTAAATGTTGTCAGATAGGGACTTCCAGTAAGAATTTGACCAACTTGACTTTTGTCTTACCAGAGGTATGTCCCTAGATAAAAAAAGGAAATAGCAAAATGTTTTTTTCTATTGAATTGTCTGGCTAGCTATATTTCAAATTCCTCTCTACCTGTGGTCTTGTTGGTACACACAATAATAAATATTGCAGTGAGTTGTACATTCTTTCAGTGATCCTGCTTTTGGGGGACTAGGGCAAATGATATCGCTTTCTCATCAGTCACATTGTTTTTCCCATCTGCCAAAAATCAATATCATGTTGCCCTGGTGTTCCAACAGTTGATATTTACAATTTGATGTTGCAACAATTTTTTCATTTATAAAGACAAAATTTAAAAAACATAGACAATTTATTTTTTGATAAAAAAAGTGGAAGCAGGTTGTAGACTGATTGTATTTTAATTCAAAGGAACATCAAAAAGTTCTACTGAAGAGGGACTGTGAGGGCAAAATATCTCGGACAAGGTTTATAAATTTGAATAATTGAGACTTTTTATATGGTTTTGAACAGTTACCATTTGATTTCTTTTCTCATATTTTTTAGAGCCAGTTTACCAACTGGAGCATGTCAAAAACAGCTTTATAGAAAAGGTAATAATAATATAAATAGTATGTACCTCTATATATTTCAATGAATACCAGATGTATTGCTGAAATTTTTCAAGACAAGACATTAGGTTTGAACTGTAATTTCCTTTATCTTTTAAGTGAATGGTTACAGAGTAGCATTTCTGTAAGTGTTATTGTTTGTATAAATCAATATTTAAGAAGAGTAGTACAGTCAATGACAAAATAACAGACAATTAAATGTCAGTAAGGATACTGTAAAAGACCCCTGAAGTTGAATTTGTTATGTTACTATAACAAAATTTAATATTGCTAGAGTTAAGAATTTTACCATGAATTCTGCGACTATAATATAAAATATACTGCAGCTGTGCTGTTTTTGCAGTCAAATTGCATTGACCGTATAATCATTTGTGATATACAGTCACTGACAGTATATCGCCTTGTTTATGACGTTGACAATGCGTTTCCGTAGAGTTTTATTTATGAAGTCATTAAAAGTACAGGTTCGCAGAATTTTTACGATGTTCACTCCAAATTAAAAAATGATGGTTTTTACCCTAAATATTTCATTTGGAACAGTTGTAGGAGTTGCAGTATATAAAGAATAACCATACATAGTCTTGAAATATAAATTTTATTTGTACTCGACTCAAAAGCCTCGCTTTCTACCTGTTTCTAAGCCTTGTACAAATAAAATTTATATTACGATACAATGTATGGTTATTCCATATATGTTTGTTCTTTAATGTAAATAGTTGACTAGTTATATCATGGATAATTAACCATAAAGACTGAAAATTAATCTCACATCAGGTCAACATTTGCAAAAATGAAAGCAGATATATATACAGGACATAAATTTCTGAATTAACAGAACTTTACCTACCAGTGTCTAGTTGAGTTTCATTTTAAGAATCAAGACCAGCATGTTGGTCTTGTACAAAGCATGGTTTATATTCATATCACTTTTACATGTTCTTTTCCTAAATTTGTAAATAAATTGTCACTGGATGTTAAGCAGTCATTCATCAACATCATCTTGTTTAGTTTGTCAGTTATTCATCTTTGATTGGTGGATTGTATTCCTTTTCTCTAACTACACAAGGCTATAATGTTACTACATGTACTAGTGTTTGTCTTAACATTTCCTTAAATGCTTTACCTAACTTTTAATTTATCCCTAATTTGTGTCCCATTTTGAGGAAAGCAAATTTATTAAGTATGCTGTTGCATTTTTAAGGTCAAAAATTATATATATATATTGCAAGAGAAGCATTAAATTCATTAGGTAACACATGTAATTGTTTAGTGATGTCATGTACCTTTGTGTTGACATCATTTGTTAGTGCAGATCATTTTTGTCGCAAAAGCAAGACAAAGCGATCCTACATTCCGTCGTATTTGGCAGGGTCCACAAATATTCACTCTGTGGTTCAAGTTTTTGAAATTTTAATAACTTTCTTAAACTATCCTGGATTTCTACCAAACTTGAACAGAAGCTTGTTTATGATCATAAGATAGTCACTAGAAGGAAATTTTGCAAAAAAAAAATCCTGTTTTTCCGTATTTTACTTATAAATGGACTTAGTTTTTCTTCCAGTTAACATTTCATTCACTCTGTGGTTAAAGTTTTAAAAATTTTAATAACTTTCTTAAACTATCCTGGATTTGTACCTAATTTGGACAGAAGCTTGTTTATGATCATAAGATAGTATCCAGAAGTAAATTTTGTAAAAAAAAATCCTTTTTATCCGTATTTGACTTATAAATGGACTTAGTTTTTCTTCCAGTCAACATTACATTCACTCTGTGGTTAAAGTTTTAAAAATTTTAATAACTTTCTTAAAATATCCTGGATTTGTACCAAACTTGGACAGAAGCTTGTTTATAATCAAAAACTAGTATCTAGAAGGAAATTTTGTAAAATTTATTTCCTGTTTTTCCGTATATAACTTTTAAATGGACTTAGTTTTTCTTCCAGTTAACATTACATACAGTCTGAAGTTAAAGTTTTTAAAACATTTATAACATTCATAAACCATTCTGGATTTTTACCAATCTTGGACAGAAGCTTCTTACAATCAAAAGATAGTATCTATGGGAAAATTTTTGATAATTTTTTCCCCATTTTTGTTGAGCCTGTGACTAGCAGCAAAAGTAGGCGAGACACTGGGTTCCGCGGAACCCTTACAAATTTTTTAAATGAAAATGCACCTTTAATGGATTATTGGGCATACAGTAACCCTAGTACATTCAATAATAATTATACAGTAAAAGTCTGCTAATGGAGTAAACATATAAAAGTACCATTTATTATCATCATTATCTTCATTTTTAGGATGACACCATGACAGTACAGATCTATGTTAAGGAAGTAAAAAAAGATACAGTAGAAGTCAATATGACAGACCAATCATTCTCTGTCAAATTCTCAACAATGTATGTTACCAGCCTATCTTAGACAGGCGCGTAGCTCCCTATACGCCAACATGCAGTTGCGTGCACATCGGCATGCTATAAAAAATATTTACGATTTTCAGCATTCTATGTTAGAGTTTATAAAATGGAATACATTTCTATTTAATTCAGGTTTAGCTAGCCTAACCTATTTGTCATCATTAAACGATAGTCGTTCGTCCAACCGTCTGTGAACTTAAAACGCATTTTATTACTAGTATGAGTGCACTGATGGCATTTTTACTTTAATGATGTCCATTTGTCCTAATGGCATTTTTCTTATTATGCCCCCGCCGTACGGCGACGGGGCCTTTAAGCTTTACCCATGTATGTCCGTACACCCATTCGAAATTTCGCTCTCTTACTTAAGTTTGCATCCACCAAATTTTACGAAACTTATACACAATGCTTACTACCACAAAACACAGATCAAGTTCAAATTTGGGTACCGTCACTTTTGTCATTCAAGTATTACCCCTTTTTAACCGAAAAAAATGCGGAAATCGGTTTCCGTTCTACAACTTTAGCAGTCTGTGCCAAACTGTTTAAGAGTTTGTATGACTGAAAATGAAATTTGACCTTTTCTACTATATATATATTTTCAACAAAAAATCTAAAAATTTCTGTCTGACCAAATGAACTTTTGTCTGACATTTTGTCGGTCAGACAGAGTTTGGAATACACTGCTTCTGTTTGCCTCAACCAAATGTTTTGAAACTTATACACATGCTAAGTACCATAAAACACAGATCAAGTTTGATTTGCAGCCTGATCCAATATATGGTTTTCGAGTTAGGCCAGCAAGAGCGTCCGTGTCCTTCAGACACATTCTTCTTTTATTTTCGGTCTTATTTTAGTTTCATGTACTTAGTATCATAAAAAAGTATGATTCGCATCAATCAGGAGGTCGCTCGATGGCGAACATGCTGGTGTATAACACCTCGCGATCAGATGAAAACTGTTTGAGATACTCGATGCGGTACGCCCAGTGCTGTATCCTTCTGTAGATACTATTTTGAGTATTATGTTGACAACGCCGGTAACATGTGCTACCGCGGACGATATCATTCAGTGTACTACATCGGTTGAAAACATATGTACGATCAACTATGAATAAGGAAAGGTTATCATCGTTAGCATTAATGCATATTCATCGGGATTTCATTGTGAATATTGACAAAGTAATGGAGAAGTTCGTTTCTGCTAAGACCCGAAGAGCAGATTTTGGACAATTTTGAGTAAATTCTGTCTCACAAAAATGTGTTGCTTATGTATTCAATTTACCATGATTTATCCTATTCAAAAGAATTCTGAATAGTTTTGCATTCATGAATTGTCTATAAGTCCTATGTAGCACCTCTTTGAACCCTCCGAAAACCGAAAAAAAATATCATTTTCTGCATAAAATGGTCCAAACAAATTTTTCGCCTCTATCCGCTCGGGGGTAGATAAGCGTGCACATCAATTTAGTCTAGCCCCTGTTAGAGATTCTATTAAAATACATGTACTATAGAACCCATCTTGAGTGAAGACAAAAAATCTTTTACAATTATGTAGAACCTGTCTTGAGAGAGGATGTCTGGAACATAGTCACTACTTTTCACAATATATGTAAATGTCATGAAAGTGACTGAAAAGAAAGTTTCTCTTTAATAGTATAAAAATAAAGAGATGTGGTATGATTGGCAATGAGACAACTATCCATCAGAGTCCAAAGGACTTAGATGTAAGCAATTATAGATCATGGTACGCAGGTTCTAGTTTAATGCAAAAATGCAAGAAAATAAGCATTGCATGTACAAAAGTTCACATTTTTATTCATGATGGTAATTTTTATGCCCCCGCCGTAGTGGAGGGGGCATTAAGTTTTACCCTTGTCCGTTTGTACGTACGTCCCAAAATAGGTTTCCATTCTCTAACTTTAGTTTGTCTCAACCAAATGTTATGTAACTTATACACAATGCTTATTACCACAAAACACAGATCAAGTTTGAATTTTGGTGGCGTCACTTTTACCGTTCTAGAGTTATGCCCCTTTACAAATGGAAAATTGCGGAATTTATCGTTTCCACTCTTACTTTAGTTTGCCTCAACCAAATGTTATGAAACTTATACACAATGCTTATTACCACAAAACACGAATCAAGTTTGAATTTTGGTGGTGTCACTTTAACCATTCTAGAGTTATGCCCCTTTATAAATGGAAAAATTGCAAAATTTTTATTTTCTTCTAAATATCAAGTAATTTTTAAAATTGGAGTTATCTTCCTTTGTCCATGATTATAGTTGAATCAACTACAATCAATGCTTTATACAATGCAATGTTTAATTTTGACTTCCACTGATAAAACACAGATCAAGTTGAATTTGGGTAGTGTCACTTTAATCATTATTGAGTTATGCCCCTTTATAAATCGAAAGATTGCAAAATTTTTAGTTTCCATTCTGTAACTTAAGTTTGCCCCAACCAAACATTATGAAACCTATACACAATATACATTACCACAAAACTAAGATCAAGTACAAATTTTTTGTTTCCGTTTTCTAACTTTAGTTTGCCTCAACCAAATGTTATGAAACTTATACACAATGCTTATTACTACATAATACAGATTAAGTACGAAATTTGGTGACAACACTTTTACCATTCTTGAGTTATGTCCCTTTATAAACATAAAAATATCTGAATTTTTCGTTTCCGTTCTCTAACTTTAGTTTGTCTCAACCAAATGTTATAAAACTTATACACAACCATTCTAGAGTTGTGCGTGTTTACAAATAGCAAAATTGCTGAATTTTAAGTTTCTGTTCTCTACTTAAGTTAGCCTCAACCAAATGTTATGAGACTTACACACAATGCTTATTACCACAAAACTCAGATCAAGTTCAAATTTGGGTAGCGTCACTTTTACTGTTCTTCAGTTATGTCCCTTTATAACTATATGATATGCAAGCGGGTGCATCATCTGTGTCCACATGTGGACACTATCCACATTTATTTATCATAATTTGTAATCAAACTATTATTTACTTTGGCATTGATATATTTTAAAATCTGTTGCATATATTCCTGTACTATAATAAATTCTTTCCCTTTATATTCAAGTTTTTGTGTCACAATTTTTCTCATCGTTACAAATAAAAAGTTCAATGTTCACATTTTCTATTAAAATGTTCACATTTTTCTCAACCTCTGATCATTTTTATAACTCGCTTCATATAGGACAACAGCTGTTTAGTTGAAAGAGCAAACATTGTTTAACACTTGGCATTTTTGCACAGATTCCTACTGATTAATTTACCGACAAAAATATATGGCACTGAAGATAGTACATTGACAGTATATAGGTCAGCCTAAAAAATGCATTATGAAGCAAAACTGAAATGAGATAACATTTTTTGATTGAAATGATTGTCCATAACCTGCATATGAGGCTCATAAGATAATATGACACAAAACAAAAGTAATGAAAATAAGATATGTTTTGCCAAAAGGTCCTACAGTAATTTGATGTATTACTCCTATTTAGAATTATGTTGATTTTTTGAAACATTCCTTGAATGCATTGATATAACTAAGAGGTACTTAATTTATTTCAGGAATGCTCAGTTTTTGAACCTTCACAAAGAATCAACCAGTGATACAATATTTAGTTGGGAAGTAAAACTCAAGTAAGAATTCCTTTATTGATATTTTATTTACCTTTAAGTAATATTATAATAAATTGAAGTTTTTAGCTTTAATCTGCACATAATGCTCACTTTCAAGTAAGGACTCCTTTATTGATATTTTATTTGCAAGTATGTTATATTCTTATATAAACTTGTATGTAAATAAGAATTTTGGACTTTTGATATTTTTGAATTTCTATTGGCTTTAGAATCATTTAAATTAATGAAGGTTGTTACTTTTTAACAATTTCCACTTTAATGATTGTCTCTGAATAATTTAATAGGTTAAAATTGTCACATATCTTACAATAACTGTAGTTTCTTAACAAACCATCAATATATATTAAATACTTTATGCATGGCTGTTATGTTTTGTTTTTTTTTAGACATGAAATTGTACCAGAGAAATGCCGATACAAATTAAGTCAATCAGTACTTGAGATAACACTTTCGAAGGAAATCAGTAGAAGATGGGGAGCTTTAGAGGCACCACAAAGGAAAGGTGAGAGTTGTTTTTACTCCTGATTTACATCTAGCCTAGTGAGGAAATGATTAATACATTCTCAAACATAGAAATCGGGCTCCAGTATTTAACAAAATATTTTTAAAAATGTAAAAAAACAAATGCATGTATTCCCATTTTCAACCGTATTTTCAAATGGAAAAATCTGGTTATTTATTTGGGATAGTATTATGGGCAGGTGGCTCCACTTTCAGTGCAATACCTTTGACCACTGCTTGCCAAATTTTAATCTGTTGCTGATGACTAATCTCAGGGTCAAGTTTTAATTTTAGCCTTTCAGGAGTCATGGACCTTGATTAATTAGAAAATGTTGATTCCAAGGCAAGATTGGTTATGAATTTTACATTTGCCATTCAGGGCCTAATACTGGTTTACTAATCACACTAATAACTTTAAGAAAGATCCAGTTTGCTGTCATTTGACAGGCTCTTGTTTTCTATTGCAAACTATTGTGCACTGCTTCAAGAATGTTGCATCAATATTTCAAGAAAAAATCAATGGTAGATTTTTTTTCTGTATGCTTTTGTAGTAATTGAACAATTGCTCTATAATTTTATTGCATAAAACCATTAACTTAATAACTAACTTAAATACCTACTAACTAAAGAACACTTCACAAAAATTTGGTGAATATATCTTTTGGTTTTAAAAGTCGTGCTACTTTTGGGGATAAATATTAAATATGGAATTTTGTGTCTTTTCCTGAAATATGGATAAATCTAACAGAAATATCTCCCAAAATCTGCATGGTAAAAGTTTTTATTTCTAAATCAGCGTTGGGGATTGTCTTTGCTGAAAAGTTATTAAGTAATGAAGTGATAATAATTTGTTTCTTTATAATATTAGCATGATTAGTTCTGAACCTTTCTCTAAAGACCCCTTTCATAGTAAGTAATTCTTCCTTTGAGGCCTCGAATGTTCATGAGGAAGACTTCAGTATAAATTTTTGTTTTCGATTAAATCACTAATATTGATATCCCTATATATTGGTTGCACTATCATAATACCAATTTCTTGTATTTCAGAGACTACCCCAGCACCTAAATCTGACGAATGGTTACCCACCACATCATCTTCCTCATCCTCAGAAAACAAATCCAGTTCCGCCAAACCTAAAACAGTACAGTTTGATGAGCTGGAGGATCCCGTTATCACCAAGAAACAAGAAAGAGATGAAGACAACAGGGCCATGGCAGACTCTATGAAAGGGGCTACTGGCACTTCAACATCAACTCAAGTAAATTTAAATGCTTTAGATATTTGCAATTTAAGAATTTAAGCAACTGTTTAAAGGTTAAAATTTTCAGAGTAAAATACAGTCGAACCTCGTTATGTCGAAGTTGAAGGGACCGTACCAAAGTATTCGACTTATCTGAGGTTCAACTCATCCAAGGTCTATTGTGTCATCATAAATTTGAAATGCATGAAAAACGGTATGAGATTTGTGTAAACTAGATACTTTGAACAGTGTGTCTTTTTTCAATATGACACTTTATGATTGTGTATTCAATCTCCATATTTTTTGGTCCTTCATAATAATTAAACACACAAATACAGATACAAATCATGCACAAATAAAATCAATTGTATACACAAATATTTACAAAGGTCAGTCACTATAAATTATGAAATCACTTGTGGAACGAAATAAGTTCTGAACGGTCTCTGATAAGGTCGTCTGCTTTACATTAACTTATTATAAATTAATCATTATTGTCTGAATCCTTTTATTTATTGTTATTAATGAATTTTAATTCTATTGATTCATTTAATCTCGGCTTCGCCGCTTGGGTCATTCAAATTCGTTTCGTTTTTTATGTCAGGTGAAATATGTTCAACACACGATTGGACGATCAACAAAGGTGTTAATTACCGGTCACCATAAACATGTTATTTTAGCTGTTATACAAACAAATATGTTTACTCAGCTTTAATCTCTTTTGAAAGTGATTAGGTTACATAAGAACTACATCCGATTTCTTACTTTCGAACTTAGAGACATCGGTGTCAATTTACATTAGTTTTAAGTCGACGGGACTATAAAATTTACTCGACTTAACCGAGTATTCGAATCAACCGAATTTGACTCATCAGAGGTAATTATGCATTGATCAAAAAGGAATTTTTCCGGGGCTTAGAAATTACTTCGACTCATTTGAGTTTTTGACACAACCGAGTTCAACACAACGAGGTTCAATTGTATACTTTTGACATACCATTTTATTCATGAGTTCATATCAAAATTGATTTTGTAACAAAATTGCAAGGAAAATCAAAATATGTCGCCATGTTAAACTTTTTTTTTTACTTTTACAAATCTGAGTAACGAAATTGATTAGATATACTTTCAACATTTTGAAAATTGTTTCATAAATGGCAAAAAATGATGAGCGCTGACAAAATCACTATAATATGACAAGTCAGACACATATTTAGACCTTTTATTAAAATATACATGTAATACTCTGTTTCTTAAGTTAATGAAGTCAACTGAATTATTCTTGTAAATTTTGGTCTAGCATCCTGGTCTTTTTTTAATGAATGCATAGTCAATTACGGTGGATTATTTAATTTAGATACTATATTGAACTTTCACTAATGAAGTAACTAAAAGGTAAAAAATATGATTTGACCCTATTTCTGTGTTTAAATAATATATAAGCTAATTGCTATGGTTATAGTTTTATTTTATTCTTAGATTATTAGATCAACATTTAAAAGATAATATGGCTTTCTCAGAATTTGTTTCTTTATTATATCTTAATTTCTTTTTCAGAAACCTACATGTAAAGTATCACCACTGAATAAAAACATGGACTTAGAACAGAATGTTAGATCAGGATTTACTGGACTAGATAACTTGGGGAATACTTGCTTTATGAATAGTGTCCTGCAGTGTTTGTCTAATACCAGAGAGTTCAGGGACTATTTTCTCAGTGAGTACAGTATCCTTCAAAGTTTAAATATATTTCTTTACAAGGGGAACAAACTTAGAAGAGTTTAAAAGTGAATTAACATACAGAAAACCAGCTTACATATCCATCTTGAGGGTATAATGAAGCTGATTTTTGCTAAGTTATTTCATACAATTTATATATATTTTATATTGTGTGAACAATATACATGTAGTAATGCAACCCTACTAAAGTATTTATACAAAGAAATTGAAACTTTGCTCATATACTGAAGATGTGCAGGTCATATAAGTGTAGATATGTTTTCAATTAATTTTTTTTAATTTGTTTATAGAAAGCTCATAAATTGTGTAACCAAATTTTGTGTTTTGATGTCAGGTTTTCAAAAATTTTAATTAGCAATTTATTCAAATGATATTTTCCTACCGAAGGTCGGTGGTTCTCTCCGGGCACTCCGGCTTCCTCCACCAATAACAACTGACCGCCACGAAATAGCACAATAGTGTTGAAAGTGGCGTTAAACACCAATCAATCAATTAATCAATATTCAAATGATGTCCTTATCATGAAGAACTAGCTTTCTGTTCAGTATTACAAAATCAAAAGTGGACATCATAAATCACATTTATTGTTTCAATGCAATTAATGCAGTATTTTAGACCATGTCCTGTTATTTTTAAGAACATACAACTAATAGATACTTTGATTGTGTTTTATTTATAGGTAGTAAATACCAGGATGATATTAATGCAGATAATCCATTAGGATTTGGTGGGAAGTTAGCTGTCTCATTTGCCACACTTCTCAAGGTTTTATGGGCTGGAACTCATTATTCCTATGCACCATCAAAACTAAAGGTAGGAGTCGTTATTACATATTACTTCACAATATTGATATTATTATTTCTCATACATTTAATTATAATAAACTTTCCATTGAAGGTCTATGTGTGATGTTGTCAGATACGTTAAATAGTATTAAAATACTTCATGCTCAGTTGGACTATGTCCTGTTTAAATTGATATATTCAATATTAGTTAAAATAGTTACCAAAGCATTTCAGTCAGTCCAGTGTATTAGAAGATTAAGCATATGACTTTTATGACCTCAATAGTAAAATGCTTGTTGTGCTTGATGAGGGAAATACTTCATTGTTGTCATATCAGCAAATGTCACTTAATGTGAAACAGGGCTTCTAATCAGAACACAACAGCATATATTATTTATAAAAAAAAATCTGTTATTCCAGACGTAGATAAGCCTTAAAATCCATACATTGTGTATCTTATTGTCAACCTGACCTCATTTTTACAGTTTATTGATCAATATGAATTATTGTTATAGCTGTAGTCAGAATATTTAACATATTTACTCATAATTAGTTAGACATATTAGGCATTTCCAAATGTCTTATCTTCATTTTTTTAATATTTTGCCTTTCTTTCAGTATCTTATATCCATGAAAGCCAGCCAGTTCACAGGATTTGCTCAACATGACGCTCAGGAATTCATGGCTTTTTTGTTAGATGGACTTCATGAGGTAATGTTTGTTTTCAAATGCAGCAAAGTTGCATGTATTTTGTAAACACTGTGGTCACCTCTCTAACAGCACAGCAGTCACCTATTATCCTGCAAAATAACTGTTCTAAAATCTAATAAGTCATTTTGAATAGTGAAGTTTATTAAGTGATACATTAAGTATACCATATCACATGATGGGATATTTTTTCATGTATAAATAGTAAGTTGAATTTAGACATGAAACTATTGAAAGTCCTAAAGAAACCCAAATTCATTAATTGTACATTTAATATAGGGTTTTCATTGAAGCATGCATATGTGTCATAGCTGCATGATTTTATGACTGGAATTGCCCATTAAATGATCCACAGACAAAGTCCTGATTACACAAACTGATTCCTTTCATTATTGAGGTATGACTATCAGTGGATACCATCCCAAAAACATTCTTATTGTCAATATTTTTAATGGAAATTGGCTTGTTCACTGCCATATTTTGTCTTGTGAGGGTAAAACCCAAGAGAATTTGGAAATGAATTATTCAGATAACCATATAAAACCTGAAGAAAATCAAACATAGTTTTCCCAAACACATGTTTACCTGTCTAACATTAATTAAGGTATCAACCATGTCAATTAATTATCAATTTTGGCAATCAAAAATAATATAATGTTGCCTGGAAGAGAACCTGTAGGGTTTTTAGGTGTTTCCCATACCCAAACATGGACTTAGCCATTTCTGCTTTAATCAGTTGGCTAATCTGCAACTCTTTGAATTTTTTTTACAGAATTCCACCAAACATGCAGAGATTTACAGGACATACAGTTTTGTAGCTGTTAGTTTTAATTTTGATCTGAGATATATAAGAGGCTTCCCATACCAAAACATGAACTGCCATTTTTATACGACCGCAAAAAATTTTGCGGTCGTATGTTGGTATCACGTCTTCGTCCGAAGACATTTGGTTTCCGGACAATAACTTTAGTATAAGTAAATAGAAATCTATGAAATTTGAATACAAGGTTTATAACCACAAAAGGAAGTTTGGGATTGATTTTGGGGGTTATAGTTCTAACAGTTTAGGAATTGTTTAGGAATTAGGGGCCAAAAAGGGGCCCAAATAAGCATTTTCTAGTTTCCAGACAATAACTTGTGGAATGGTGCATGGATCTCTCTGAAATTATACCACAAGTTTCCATACCACAAAGGGATGGTTAGGATTGGCTTTGGGGGGTAATGGCTCAAACCATTTAGGAATTAGGGGCAAAAAGGGGGAAAAACAAGGGTTTCCTTGTTAATGGATAATTATTTTTAAGTACAATGTTTTGTGTTTGGATTACCTCCCTTACACTGCTTTGAAATTATGTATAAAGAAATGTTGTATTGTCTTGAAGTGATTAGCTGTCAAATTGGGCAGGGGGGTAAAAAAGAAATTGGGGGGGGGGGGGGGGGCATTTTTTTTCTTCTCATTTCAGATTTTCAGATTTCAGAAATTTAAAAGAAAATTTCTTCAAAAAAAGGGGGCGAGGGGTGGAGGGGAGGGGGTCAATTTGCAACAGCATAGTGTATTGCACAAAAGCAAAAATTTGAATATAAATTCAAATCATATAACCAATTCTATGTTCTTTGACTACAGTTATTCTGTGTCAGAAACCTATTATGTGTCACATATTTAATTACAATCCAAATTCAGACCTGTATCAAGCGCATATATTGTGTCCATTTTTGCCCCAACTGTTCACGGTTGGACCTCTGCGGTCGTATCCAGCTGCGCTTGGCGAAGCAATTTTATTGTTTATGTTACTTGGAGAGGGCAGGGGACAATACTCACACAATTTTTTCTTTAAATAATATCATTGCGGATATTAGAAAAAACCTTTTGCTTGATTGATAATACCCATTTTAAAATCTCCAGTAAATTAAGACTGCCATAAAATATATCTTCATTTTCTTACCCTAAAAAAACGTTATATGTTGATTACTAACTAAATTGAAATAAGAAAGCTATTTCCATTTTTGTCGAGCCTTCGACTTTAGTCGAAAAAGCGAGACATAGCGATCCTACATTCCGTCGGCGTCGTTGTCGTCGGCGGCGTCCACAAATATTCACTCTGTGGTTAAAGTTTTTGAAATTTTAATAACTTTCTTAAACTATCCTGGATTTCTACCAAACTTGGACAGAAGCTTGTTTATGATCATAAGATAGTATCCAGAAGTAAATTTTGTAAAAATAAAATTCCATTTTTACCGTATTTTACTTATAAATGGACTTAGTTTTTCTGCCGGTAAATATTACATTCACTCTGTGGTTAAAGTTTTTAAAATTTTAATAACTTTCTTAAACTATCCTGGGTTTGTACAAAACTTGGACAGAAGCTTGTTTATGATCATAAGATAGTATCTAGAAGTAAATTTTATAAAAAAATAAATCCATTTTTTCCTTATTTTACTTTTAAATGGACTTAGATTTTCTGCCAGGAAACAACACATTCACTCTGTGGTTAAAGTTTTTAAAATTTTAATAACTTTCTTATACTATTTTGGATTTGTACCAAACTTGGACAGAAGCTTGTTTATGATCAAAAGCTAGTATCTAGAAGGAAATTTTGTAAAAAAATAAATCCATTTTTTCCGTATTTTACTTTTAAATGGACTTAGATTTTCTGCCAGGAAACAACATATTCACTCTGTGGTTTAAGTTTTTAAAATTTTAATAACTTTCTTATACTATTTTGGATTTGTACCAAACTTGGACAGAAGCTTGTTTATGATCAAATGCTAGTATCTAGAAGGAAATTTTGTTTTCTTCCAGTTAACATTACATTCAGTCTGCAGTTAAGGTTTTTAAACATTTATTAGATTCATAAACTATCCTGGAATTTTACCAAACTTGGACAGAAGCTTCTTACAATCAAAAGATAGTATCAAGAGGAATATTTTTTATTGATTTACTTCCTCATTTTTGTTGAGCCTGCGATTAACAGAAAAAGTAGGCGAGACACTGGGTTCCGCGGAACCCTTACGAATTTTTATTTACTGTACAAGTAAATTATTATATTTTTTAAAGACTTTGTTATCACTTTTAGGACTTAAATCGAGTGAAGAAAAAGCCTTATACAGGAACAGTGGACTCAGATGGACGACCTGACAATGTAAGTTAATATATCAACTATTTTGATTAGACAGGTATTAGGCAATCTAGTATGCTGCCACAGAATAGTTTAAAAAGTATACTTTGATCAGATTTTTCTAAGTTGGTATGATAACTTGTACTGAAATTAGTTCCTTGATTTTTCTGGTATTTGTTGACTCCTTTTAACAATTTATTTTGATCTTGGTACAATATGTAAAGAAAAACTTGATATAGCTTATAAGGTATTACTAGTATTAGTTTATTTATTTGTTTCATAACCCCAAGGGTTGGACTAAGGTATAGAAATATGGTCATCCCTTTATCTTCTTCCCACCAGCAGTAAAATTCTTGCCAAATTGGGGTTCTGACTTTTAAAGTGATATTATCTTGATCTTTTTACACTTATAGGTGTAATACCACCAAATCATAATATGTCACATCCGGTTTCATATGAAAAAGGTTGAAAAAAAATATTCCCTTGAATTTGACAGTTGTAGGAAACTAACCCTGCATTTCATTGCAGAAAAACATTTCTGAGTCATAAACAGATATCTTGGGTTTGTCAAAGCACCATTTTTTTTTTATTTGGTGTTTCTATAAAATATTTGGAAACTTGAGGTGACATGGTTTCTAAAGCTTGTAAACAGGAATAAAAGGGGTGAAAATTTGATTGGTTTACTGCCGGTGATGGTTATTATCTTATATGCAATGAAATGTTATGTGAAATTTCACTGTTGTACTGGACATGATCAAACTTTACTCATGCCAATTATTTCTTTATTTGAAACAAAGATAAATTCTGCACTGTATTTTGAAAAATGCAAATTTAACAAAGACTAATAGGGGAAAAACAATGATGGTATTACTCCTATATCTGACTGTATATGTTTATGTTTTGTAGGTTGTTGCAGATGAAGCTTGGGAAGTGTACAAGAAAAGGAACAACTCGTTTATTGTTGACCTGTTTCAGGGACAGTACAAATCTAAACTTGTTTGTCCTGTTTGTGGCAAAGTAGGACTCTTTAATTGCATAGTTGTCTGCTAACATGAAATATCCAAATCTTTCTATCACAAAATTGCTAAATATGAGGCACAATATTTGTTACCTTCTAATTTTTATACCCCTGCCAGGCATTAAGTGTTACCCTTGACCATCCTTCTGTCCATCTTTCTTTCTTTCTTTCTGTCCGTCCTATTTTTGTTTCCGCACTCTAACTTAAGTTTGCCTCATGCAAATTTTATGAAACTCATACACAATGCTAAGAGCCATAACACGCAGACAGAGCTCGAAATTTGGGTTGTAAGTCATTTACCATTCTAGAAGTATGCCCCTTTTAACTTGGAAAATTGCAAAGCTTGAGCGGGGGCATTCGTGTCCTCAGACACATTCTTCTTTTATTTACTTATTTTATTCTGTCATAAACGATGGCTGTAACTTATAAAGGGGACAATTTATCTAAAATATAGACCTATGTAGGCTCTTTCATCACTTGGCATACGTCTTCCGTCGTCGTCGTCGCCTGTTAATTTAAAAAAAAATCTTCTCCTCTGAAAGCACTGGGCTAAATTTAACCAAACTTGGCCACAATCATCATTTGGGTATCTATTTTAAAAAATGTGTCCGATGACCCCATCTGCCAACCAAGATGGCTGACATGGCTAAAAATAGAACATAGAGGTAAAATGCAAGTTTTACCCTTGTCCGTCTGTATGTACGTACGTCCCAAAATTGGTTTCCGTTCTCTAACTTGAGTTTGCCTCAACCAAATGTTATGAAACTTATACACAATGCTTATTACCACAAAACAAAGATCAAGTTTGAATTTTGGTGACGTCACTTTAACCGTTCTAGAGTTATGCCCCTTCTATAAATGGAAAAATTGCAAAATTTTTAGTTTCCTTTCTCTAACTTAAGTTTGCTTCAACCAAATGTTATTAAACTTATACACAATGCTTATAACCACAAAACACAGATCAAATTTTAATTTTGGTGGCGTCACTTTAACCATTCTAGAGTTATGCCCCTTTATAAATGGAAAAATTGCAAAATTTTTATTTTCTTTTAAATATCAAGTAATTTTTAAAATTGGAGTTATGTTCCTTTGTCCATGATTATAGTTGAATCAACTACAATCAATGATTTATACAATGCAATGTTTAATTTTGACTTTCACTGATAAAACACAGATCAAGTTGAATTTGGGTTGTGTCACTTTAACCATTATTGAGTTATGCCCCTTTATAAATCGAAAGATTGCAAAATTTTTAGTTTCCATTCTGTAACTTAAGTTTGCCCCAACCAAACATTATGAAACCTATTCACAATATTCATTACCACAAAACTAAGATCAAGTACAAATTTTGTGTCCGTTTTCTAACTTGTTTGCCTCAACCAAATGTTATGAAACTTATACACAATGCTTATTACTACATAATACAGATTAAGTACGAAATTTGGTGGCGACACTTTTTTTACCATTCTTGAGTTATGTCCCTATATAAACATAAAAATATCTGAATTTTTCGTTTCCATTCTCTAACTTTAGTTTGTCTCAACCAAATGTTATAAAACTTATACACAACCGTTCTAGAGTTATGCGTGTTTACAAAAAGAAAAATTGCTGAACTTTTATACGACCGCAAAATATTTTTTGGGATCGTATAATGGTATGATGTCGTCGTCATCTGCGTCGTCGTCCGAAAACACATTGGTTTCCAGACAATAACTTTAGTTTAAGTTTATGGATCTCTATGAAATTTTTTAAGAATGTTCAATACCACAAAAGGAAAGTTGGGATTGATTTTAGGGATGATCGCCCCAACCGTTTAGGAATTAGGGGCCCAAAAGGGGCCCAAAACAAACATTTTTCTAGTTTAATTATAATAACTTGTGTATAAGTATTTCGATTGCTCTGAAATTGTACAACAATGTTTAATAACACAAGTAGAAGGTTGGGATTCATATTAGGGGTTATGGGGCAAACAGTTTAGGAATTAAGGGCCTAAAAGGTAATTGCCTCAAACATGTAGGAATTAGGGGCCAAAGAAGGGCCAAAGACATGCATTATTCTAGTTTCCAAACAATAACTTGTGTTAGATGTGTATGGATCTCTCTGAAATTGTACTACAAGGTTCCATACTACAAAGGAAAGAATTGGATCGAGTCTTGGGGTAATTGCTCCAAGGGGGGATTCCAAAAGTCGCGGGGGGGAGGGTTCCAATTTTTTAAAGAATTTCATATTTTTTTCAAAAATTTTCAAATTTTAAATTTTGTAAAAGTTTCAAGAAGTAATCTTCAATTGCACAGTATTGCGCAATAGATTTGTAAGATCTTTTACCACATTTATTTTGTGTCAGAAATCTATATGATGTCAAAAATTTGATCACAATCAAAATTCAGACAGTATCAAGCTTGAATATTATATCCAAATTTGCCCCAACTGTTCAGGGTTCCACCTCTGCGGTCATATCAGGCTGCGCTCAGTGAAGCATTTTATTAGTTTCTGTTCTCTTCTTAAGTTAGCCTCAACCAAATGTTATGAGACTTACACACAATGCTTATTACCACAAAACTCAGATCAAGTTCAAATTTGGGTAGTGTCACTTTTACCGTTCTTCAGTTGTGTCCCTTTATAACTATATGATAGGCAAGGGGGGGCATCATCTGTGTCCACATGTGGACACTATCCACATTTATTTGCCTATTATTTTGAAAACTGCTATAAATAGAGAAATTCTGACAGGATCAAAAATGTTCAGAATGATGAGCTTTAACTTTTGTCCATTTATGTCAAAACTGTTAGATGACTTCTTATAGGAGTAATTCCCTTTAAATGACGAATTTTACCATTTTAAAAATGTTTACCCTTTTATCTCGAAAAATATCATCCATAGACAGAAACTTTAAATAGCAAAACTGATCAGCAAGACGATCTACAAATAAGTCAACCAGACCAAAGTTTGCAGACAACTCCTTATTATGTTATTGCCCTAATATCTTGAAAACTGTAGTAGATAGATAGAAACTTTATATAGCACAAATCTTCAGCAAGAAGAGATCTACAAATAAGTCGTCATGGTAGAAATCTTCAGTCGACTCGTTATTGGAGTTACCCTGTAGTGCCCTTTGATAATAATTTTTTACAGTTTTTTGCATTTTTTGCCTTTTATCTTAAAAACTATGGATAAAACTTTGAAAATAATAGATAGATAGAAACTTTAGAAAGGAAAAATTGTCAGCAGGATTAGATCTACAAATATGTCAACATGACTGAAATTGTCAGTTAACTCTTAATAGAATTGTTCCCATTTAATGATGATTTTTAATAAAAAGTTACCATAGTTGACGATGCAGGTGAGCGACACAGGCTCTTTAGAGCCTCTAGTTTAGTGAGACATACAACTTTCTGTTATATGTTTTTCATTAATTAAAATCTGACTGATGTGGACTGAATTATGGTGTTTAAATTGATGATCAAATTTATAAAATTTTATAATAAGAATGTGATGCTCTTAAAGATTTAGATATTCTGAAGTTTAATTTCCAATGTAAAAAAGACATAACAGAGTGAAAAGGAAATAATACAGTTTACTGAAGCATTTTATATTAAAAAAAAATATTTTGAATTGTTGAGTAAGCATATTTTGTGCACATTTTTAAACGCATGATGCATAATATAACAATGTTTTATCTAATCAAAGATAAACGTCTTTTACCTTCCAGTTCAGAAGATTCTGTACTTTTTCAGGGTTTTTTTTTTCTTCTATTTAAAGAAGTAGTAGTATTTATGATTATTTATGTAGTTGGCTATTTATGCTTGGAAATTTTATTGGAATTTTGACCATAGAAGATATTATTTATTTCTAGGTGTCCATAACATTTGATCCATTCCTGTATTTACAAGTACCATTACCAAAGAAAAAAAGATTAATACCTGTCATATTTATGTGGAAAGATCCTTACAAAAAACCAATACAGGTAAGATACTTTTACTTGCTTATAACTAACTAGCTTATCATAAGTGATTCTTGAAATCCAATTGAAAAAAGGCTTGAGAGAAGCATCTGTTACAAAGAGAAGAAAAAAATATTGAAAAAAAAATTGAGCAAAGTAAGATATTGATTCTTGGTAGGAAGAAGGATAGAGACCAATAATATAACATTTCATATTTCTTGATACTTGTAAGATTTCTAAATGTGGAAAGCTGGTATGTAAATGATTATTCCTTTTATAGTTAATACTACGTCTGCCTAAAGAAAGTACAACTCAGATGTTAAAAGATGCAGTATATAAAAAGACTGGAGTTAGTCCAAGAAATGTAAGTGTTTGTTCTTGTTTTGTATTTGTTCAATTCAGTTTTGTTTTTTTTGTTTTTTTCGGGGGGGTACTGGTAAAACAATTATATGATATGGTGTTTTATATAGATCAATGTTCATGTCCCCAAGTCTTTTCATTTATAATAATACTTTGTGCAAGGTATTTTTGTCCCCCGCGTAATGCGTTGCGGGGGACATGGAAATACTGGGCGTCCGTCTGTCCGTCCCGTCTTGTAAGCGCTCTCACAGGTACAATTCTTGCCAGATTTTTATTAAACTTATTCTATAGGTTAATATCAGCAATATCTCAGACAAGTTCTATCATGGTGGCCAATCAACTATTTTTAAAAGAGTTATGCCCCTTGGAAATATTAAATTTATGGAAAATGGCCTCTTTAGTGCTCTCACGGGTACAATTCTTGCCAGATTTTTATAAAACTTATACTATAGGTTAATATCAGCAATATCTTTCACAAGTTTTATAATGGTGGACATGGTGGACGATTGACTTTTTATACGACCGCAAAAATTAAAAAATTTTTGGTCGTATATTGGTATCACATTGTCGTCGTCGTCGTCCAAAGACAGATGGTTTCCGGATAATAACTTTAGTATAAGTAAATAGAAATCAATAAAATTTTAACATAAGGTTTATAACCACTAAAGGAAGGTTGGGATTGATTTTTGGGGTTATGGTCCCAACTGTTTAGGAATTAGGGCCAAAAAAGGGGCCCAAATAAACATTTTTGTAGTTTCCAGACAATAACTTGTGTTAAAGTGTATGAATCTCTCTGAAATCATACCACAAGTTTCCATACTACAAAGGGATGGTTAGGATTGACTTTGGGTTGTTGTTGCTCAAACCATTTAGGAATTAGGGGCAAAAAAAGGGAAAAAACAAGGGTTTTTCTGGTTCAAGGACAATTGAGACAATTTAAAAGCAGTGTAAGGGAGGTAATCCACAGTGTTTTATTACCTCCCTTACACTGCTTGTAAATTATGTATTAAGAAATGATGATTGTCTGAGATACTGACCATAAATTTTTTGGAATGAGGGAAAGGGGGAGGTGAAAAAAATTGGAGGGGGACAATCTTTCTCATTTCAGAAATCAGAAATTAAAAGAAAATTTCTTCAAATATTTGTTTTGGGGGGGTTAATATTCAACAGCATAGTGTATTGCACAAACGCAAAAAAAACGGGGTTAAATTTTTTTTTGGGGGGGGGTCAAAGTGTATTTCACAAAAGCAAAAAATTGAATATAAATTCAAATCATATAACCAATTTGAAGTTCTTTGACTACAGTTATTCTGTGTCAGAAACCTATTATGTGTCAAAAATTCAATTACAATCCAAATTCAGACCTGTATCAAGCATGAATATTGTGTCCATTTTGGCCCAACTTTTCAGGGTTGGACATCTGCGGTCGTATACAGCTGCGCTCAGCGAAGCAATTTATTCTAAAAGAGTTCTGCCCCTTGGAAATATTAAATTTATTGAAAATGGCCTCGTTAGCGCTCTCATGGGTACAATTCTTGCCAGATTTTTATAAAACTTATACTATAGGTTAATATCAGCAATATCTCGGACAAGTTCTATAATGGTGGTCGATTGACTTTTTTTTTAAAGAGTTTTGCCCCTTGGAAATATAAAATATATGAAACGCGGGGGACATTGGAACTCTGTTCTTTTATTTATTTTGACTTTATTATGTAATTTCTTTTGATAGCTTTTAAGATGCCATAACATCTATGTCCCTGTAGTGCATGAACAAATATTTCTTGTATCATACTGAACAGATTGCAATTTGAAAAAGTGGTATCACAAATACCTAAATTTTTTATTGGCCTATCTTGCAATTTGATACGGACAGTGAGGACTAGGAAAAGTCAGGACAGATTACTTTTTCTCTGTAGAAATGGTTTGTTTACTTCTGTTTTGGAAATGTTGTCTGCATTATCATTTACTCCACCAATTGTGGATGAGGAAATAAAGAAAAGAGCTTATGTGCACTAATGCAAAGCCACAAAGAAAATTATTATTTTCTAAACATATTTTTTCAGCTGAAGTCTCATAATAGTCAGTGTTTCAGCTGATGATGTGTAACAACAAAAAAGGCCACACAAAGATAATATTTACCCAAAGCGAAATGGTTTAATAACAAGTGAGAAATATGGATTGCTTGATATCACCTCTTGTTATTAAATTTCAATAATAACAATAAACTTGCCAAATGCTTGTTTATTATTTTATTGAAATTTATAGATAACTCATGTTTGTATCAAGCAATATCCAATACTCACTGGTTATAAAACCTATGATAATTATCCTTAAAAATATGAAGAACATAATGAAATTTCATAATATTGAAATTGAACATACACGTTATTACATCAATAATCAACTCAAGTTTTCCTTTGAAATCATTTTACTTACCATGAATCCTCATAGTATTTATTTTCAATTTTCCTTATTTGCAGATGCGAGTGTTTGAATCATACAAGAGTAAATTTTACAAGTTTTTCCAGAATGGTGATGATTTAAGTTCTATCCAGGCCAATGATACCATCATTGTGTGAGTTGTACAAGTATTTTAGCAAATGTAGAAATTACTACTAAATTTATACAATCATTTCACAAATGGAATACTATTTATGGAGATTGTGAACTAGTTCATTTGATATGAATTTCAAGTCATGAAATATGATATCTTTAACCATGAGAACATCATTACTTTAAAATAAGTTTTGTAGGTGTGATATTTCTCCATATTTGTACAAACTAATTGATGTTATACAGATGATTTTTTCAGTTAGTTAATTTATTATACCCCCGCTTTAAAAAAGTGGGGGTATACTGTTTTACCTCTGTCTGTCTGTCCTTCCATCCTATGAATATTTTTCGTCACGTCTTTCTCAGGAACTACATCATAAGGATTTTATACCCGGCTTTAAAAAATTGGGGGTTTACTGTTTTACCTATGTCTGTCCGTCCATCCGTCCCATGAATATTTTTTCTCGCATCTTTCTCAGGAACTACATCATAAGGATTTCTGAAATTTGGTTTCAGGGTTTATACATGTATAAGTCAGCTATACTGTGTGATGTGTTTTCAGATTCATCACTCAACAACTTCCTGTTTACCGAACACTTACATCATTTTACACATGACATCCAAGTAGTTGAAAATTTCGTCACATTTATCTCGGGAACTACATTACAAGGATTTCTGAAATTTGTTTTCAGGGTTTATATGAGTCAGCTATACCGTGTGATGCGTTTTCAGATTCATCACTCAACAACTTCCTGTTTACCGAACACTTACATTTGGGCGGGGGTATCATCAGTGAGCAGTAGCTCGCAGTTTCTCTTGTTTCAGCTATTTTGCTTCTTCAAATTTCTTTTACATTAAGAGTTGATGAACCTGTTGGGTGGAAGTATTTTCAAATCAGTTTTAACAATTTTCAGATAATTTTATTTCTATGCAAAATTATCCCTGGTATAATTTTACTGTGGAAAAATCATCAGATCATTTGCATTTGTCTTATTTTTTAAAGAAGTTTTTGATTACCAATTTTGAATGATTAACTAAGGATAACATTATTCTTGTTTTGTTTCAGGAGTGAAGTTTTATCACCTGAAGTAGCTGGAGAAAATGTATATGAAGTTTACATTTTACAGGTTAGCGTCTAATATTTTTAAGATTATTATCAAATACAGCACCTACATCTTATGTTGTAATACTCCCATATTATAACCTTATTAAATCGAGTAAGAATTAGAGAAAAGAATATATTGGCTAATCGGATAGGAATTTTCATGAAAATATTGTCAAAACCATGCACAATCGGATATTTTTAATGTTTTTCTGACATAAAATGAACCCAAAATCACTATCTTGAAGACAAGAAAATTTAGTTTTTTCTTAATAAAATGAACTATTTATTATTAATTTGTTGTCTTAATTCATTGTCTACCTTTGTTATGTGAATTATATGCCCTGACAGTTCAAATGGTTTGAATTTATAAATACAAGAGCAGTACTTTGGAAGAATTTTGATAAAACTTATTCACAGAATCAGAAATACAATTTTAGTTGAGCCTGCAACATTTATGTCTCGAAAAGCGAGACATAGCAATCCTAGATTACGGCATTGGCGGCATAAATATTGAGGTTCAGTCTGTGGCTTAAAGTTTACTTAGACATCAATTACTTTATCAAACCTTCATGGAGTTTTAGGAAACTTGGACAGAAGCTTGTTTATGACCAAAATACAGTATCCAGAGCAAAATTTTGAAAATATTTATTTTCGTTTTTCCTATTTTACTGATAAATGGACTTAGTTTTTTTTACAGTTAACATTCAGATTCCGTCTGAGGTTTTTTTACAGTTAACATTCAGATTCCGTCTGAGGTTAAAGTTTTTCAGTCATCAATAACTTTGTCAAACTTCATTGAATTTTATGAAATTTGGACAGAAGCTTCTTTATGACCAAATGCAGTATCAAGAGCAAAATTTATTGTCTATCTTGAATGCAGAGCAAGTTTACATATATTTTTTAAAGATTTGCTGGGAAACAGAGGAGTTCAGCGGTGTTTTGTTATTATGATTCTACCATAAATTTCAAATTGCTAAATTGCAGATGCAACTAAGTCCCTTGTTTACATAATGTGTAACCTCTTGAACCATGAGACGCAAACATTAACAGAATCTTCAGTAAACTTAAACTTGATGCATTACTATTTCATCAATCATGATTATCTTCATTATTAATCAAAATAAATTTAATTATTGAAAGAAATAAAATATTTAGCAAGTAAAATTTCAGCTTAGAGACTCTATAGCTATTTATAGCTTAATTACCTTACCTGTGATTTCACCACATATAAATGTAAATATTGATATTACTTTGTTTATGAAACAAATAAAGACAAACTTTGGATGGTAGATATTTATTCACATAAATATTTCAGTACATATGATTTATTTTAGTAGATTAAGTCAATTTATTATTGCAGAAGATTCAATGAATATACATTTATCGTCTAATTGAATATATTGGGTAATGGGATATTTTTTACTGACATTCTGGGTATCTATTTTGCCAGAGTCGACTGTACTTAAATCTTACAGTATATAAAAATAAGGAGATGTTGTATGATTGCCAATGAGAAAACTGTCCACCAAAGTTCAAATGAAGTGGATGTAAGCAATTATAGGCAACTGTACGGCCTGTATAGTCAGCTAGCCTGTATTGGTGTTGAAATAATAATTTTATTTTGCATCTACAGTTAATGATTGGTTTATATACTCTCAAAATTATTATTGTCCTGAATATCCTGAAAACTTCTCCACTAAGTATTAAGCAACCATTATTCAATCAATCTAAAAATTCTTGTTCAGTACTGTATTCAATTACATTTATATTTAAAGGACTGAGGATTTATTATATTTGTAGGAATACTGAATTAACATACATTTTCTTGGAATATAAAAAAAGTAACAAAGCTTAGAAATAGGTAAAAATTAAAGAACAATTCTATCAGGTTTAGTGCCATGTACAAATAAATCTAAAGGGCTTTCACTTATGCTGGAATGCTCAAAACTGAATATTTTGTGATAAATCGTGAATTTTGGACATAGCATGGTTGCAGTATAAAATATAAGTCTCATTTATTGCAAGAAAGAATTTCTTATTTAAATTGCTTATTAGATTTATTAAAATATATTTTCATTATACAGAGAACAGTCCTTCCAAGTCAGCTACCAAACAGATGTGCTTCTTGTAGAAGTTTATGTCCTGAAGGCAGTAAACTAAAACGATGCATGAAATGTTATAAAGCAGGATATTGTGATCAGTAAGTATTTACAAAGAAATAGTAGGCTGAGGGCAGTTAACTAAAATGATGCATGAAATGTTATAAAGCAGGATATTGTGATCAGTAAGTATTTACAAAGAAACAGTAGGCTGAAGGCAGTAAACTAAAACGATGCATGAAATTTTATAAAGCAGGATATTGTGATCAGTACGTATTTATAAAGAAACAGTAGGCTGAGGGCGGTTAAATAAAATGATCCTGAAATGTTATAAAGCAGGATATTGTGATCAGTAAGTTTTTACAAAGACCAGTACTCTGAGGGCAGTTAACTAAAATGATCTTGAAATGTTATAAAGCAGGATATTGTGATCAATAAGTATTTACGTAGAACAGTAAGCTGAGAGCACTTAACTAAATCGGTAATGAAATGTTTTTGAACCAGGATATTGTGATCATTGGTAATTTACGTTTGCTGCCATGGTTTTTCTTGACAGAGTAAAAGGGCACTCTAATGTCTTTTTAATTTCTTGAATCATTTTAATCATTTGCCTTATCAATATTGTTTGTTATTTCAGACAGTGTCAGAAAACCCACTGGCCATTACATAAGATGCACTGTAAACAATCTCCTGAACCGGTGGGTCTTCCTTTTGTTATCAGCATCTCAGAATCAAGAGCTACATTCTCCAGGATCTGTCAACTCATGGAAGCATATGCAAGGTAAAAGTAACTTTATTCTCTAGTGGTAACATGCATATTTGGACTTTTTATACGACCGCAAAAAAAATTTGGGGTCATATATTGCTATCATGTCGTCCGAAGACATTTGGTTTCCGGACAATAACTTAAGTTTAAGTGTATAGATCTCTATGAAATTTTACCAAAAGGTTCAATACCACTAAAGAAAGGTTGGGATTGTTTTTTGGGGTGATGGTCCCAACCGATTAGGAATTTAGGGTAAAAAAAGGGGCCCAAAACAAGTATTTTTCTAGTTTCAGGACAATAACTTGTGTATAAGTATATTGATTGCTCTGAAATTGTACCACTAGGTTCAATACCACAAGTCGAAGGTTGGGATACATTTTGGGGGTAATTGTTCAAACCGTTCAGGAATTGGGGACCAAAAAGTGTCTAAAACAAGCATTTTTCTAGTTTTCAGACCATAACTTGTGTTTAAATGTATTGATGTCTCTTAAAATGTACCACATACTACATTTTACAAAAAGAAAATTTACTTCAAATGTTCTTTTTTTTGGGGGGGGGGGGGGGGGGGGGTGAACAATTTTTTTTTTCTTCCAAGATTTCAGAAATTGTCAATTTTCCAAAGAAAAATTGGGGGTCACAATTACTAATTCTTTGTATATAGTCTGAAAACATATTTACTAAGTATTGCGCAACAACACAGTGTATTGCACAAAAGCAAGAAATCTTCAATTGAATATAAATATAACCAATTTTAAGTTCTTTGACTACATTTATTCTGTGTCAGAAACCTATAATGTGTCAAATATTTAATAACAATCCAAATTCAGACCTGTATCAAGCTTGAATATTGTGTCCATTTTTGCCCCAACTGTTCAGGGTTGGACCTCTGCGGTCGTATCCAGCTGCGCTTGGCGAGGCAGTTTATTAGATTTATTTTCAACTGTCAGAGTCAATTTCAGACTTTTTAGACTTATATTTTATTGTCATTAGAGTGTGATCATAAAATATTTGATGAATTTTGTTTCTGTTTTCTGTACTTGTTATTATCTGTGTTGCCAGAGGAGAGAGCAGGTTTTGTAACTGCTCCACTCTTTCAATCATTATTCACATTATTCAAGTTTTGCACAGTAATTGCACACATATTAATGATAATGTGTTCCTCCTTTTCTGGACAAATTTTTCTCAAGTCCCCCATGTGTTTAATTTTTCATTGGAAGTGATATAGGAAATAGTTTTCATTCAACATTATTTTGAATATTGTTTAGTGATTGCACAAATGTTGAAGGTGTTTACCTTTTTATAATGGACAGATTTGAATTATTTTTTCACAGTTTTCCAATGTGTGGAACTTAGTAATTTTTGTCAATGGATGATATAGAAGGTATCAGTTTGTGTTATGTGTAATTCCAACAGTTTTCCATCAACATTTATTAAACTTTGCATTTTGGACCAAATAGAGAATTTTTTTTTTTTCAAAATTGTCATATTTTTTTGTATTGCACTGAAGTTTTTTAGAAAAAGAAATAATGGTGATTTGCTGGTTTTTGTCGAGCCTTCGACTTTAGTCGAAAAAGCGAGACATAGCGATCCTACATTCCGTCGGCGTCGTTGTCGTCGGCGGCGTCCACAAATATTCACTCTGTGGTTAAAGTTTTTGAAATTTTAATAACTTTCTTAAACTATCCTGGATTTCTACCAAACTTGGACAGAAGCTTGTTTATGATCATAAGATAGTATCCAGAAGTAAATTTTGTAAAAATAAAATTCTTGTTTTTCCGTATTTTACTTGTAAATGGACTTAGTTTTTCTGCCAGGAAACAATACATTCACTCTGTGGTTAAAGTTTTTAAAATTTTAATAACTTTCTTAAATTATCCTGGATTTGTACCAAACTTGGACAGAAGCTTGTTTATGATCATAAGATAGTATCCAGAAGTAAATTTGTTAAAAAAAAAATTTCATTTTTTCCGTATTTTACTTATAAATGGACTTAGTTTTTCTGCCAGGAAACAATACATTCACTCTGTGGTTAAAGTTTTTAAAATTTTAATAACTTTCTTAAACTATCCAGGATTTGTACCAAACTTGGACAGAAGCTTGTTTATGATCATAAGATAGTATCCAGAAGTAAATTTGTTAAAAAAAAAATTTCATTTTTTCCGTATTTTAGTTATAATTGGACTTAGTTTTTCTGCCAGGAAACAATATTTTCACTCTGGTTAAAGTTTTTAAAATTTTAATAACTTTCTTAAACTATCCTGGATTTGTACCAAATTTGGACAGAAGCTTGTTTATGATCAAAAGCTAGTATCTAGAAGGAAATTTTGTTAAAATTTGTACCTATTTATCCGTATTTTACTTATAAATGGACATAGTTTTTCTTCCAGTTAACATTAAATACAGTCTGCAGTTAAAGTGTTTAAAACATTTATTAGATTCATAAACTTTCCTGGATTTATACCAAACTTTGACAGAAGCTTCTTACAATCAAAAGATAGTATTTAAAGGAATATTTTTATTGATTTTTTTTCCTCATTTTTGTTGAGCCTGTGATTAACAGCAAAAGTAGGCGAGACACTGGGTTCCGCGGAACCCTTACGAATTTTTCTCATTGAATGGTGTGTTTTATTAAGGTTGAGGTTATACATCTGAGTATTGCATGTTATTTAGATGTAAATTGAAAAACCCTACAGACCATACATGTCTTGCAATAATTACCTGACTGCAGTGCTACAAAGATATTAACATTCGTTAGTCTGAGAATTACCATTGGAAACACCATATTCATGAATATTGATTGATTACACCTTTGACAATTGATGGTATTCTTACACTTCAGAATTTCCAATCTTTATGGCAATAAATGCTGTTCTACAAATCAGCGCTGTGCTGTGCAGGTCTTGGTATTATTATTATACGACCGCAAAAAAATTTTGAGGTCGTAAATTGGTATGACGGCGTCGTCGTCGTCCGGCGTCGTCGTCCGAATACACAATGGTTTTCGCACTCTAACTTTAGTTTAAGTGAATGGATCTCTATGAAATTTTACCATAAGGTTCAATACCACAATAGGAAGGTGGGGATTGATTTTGGGGGTTATGGTACCAACAGTTAAGGAATTGGGGGCCAAAAAGGGGCCGAAAATAAGCATTTTTGTAACTTCCAGACATAACTTGTGTGTTAGCATATGGATCTCTCTGACATTGTACCACAAGATTCCATATCACAAAGGGTCAATGCTGGGATTGATTTTGGGGTTAATTGCCACAAAATTTTAGGAATAAGGGGCCAAAAGGGGGCAAAAAACAAGCATTTTTCTAGTTTCATGACTATAACTTGTGTGTAAGTGTATGGATCTTTCTGAAATTTTACTACAAGGTTCCATTTCACAAAGGGAAAGCTGGAATTGAGTGTTGTGGTAATTGCCCAAAACGTTTAGTAATAAGGGGCCTAAAAAGGGGTTTAAAATAAGCATTTTTTAGTTTCTAGACAATAACTTGTGTTCAAGTGTATGGATCTCTCTAAAATTGTATTACAAGGTACCATACCACAAAGGCAAGGCTGTTATTGAGCTTGGTTTGGGGGGAAAGGGGGGTGGGGGTGATGAATCATAAGGGGGGCCGGGGTAAAAAAAGGGGTAATTTTTTTTTTTCCTTTTATTTTTGTTTAAAATTTACATTTTAAGTTAGTTATTTTTTATCACGAAGAGAAAGTAGGAATTGAGTTTTGGGGTTAATTGCTCAAACATTTATGAATAAGGGGCCAAATATTGGTCAAAAATAAGGATTTTTTTAGTTTGCAACAAAAACTTGTGTTCAAGTGTATGGATCCCTGTGAAATTGTATTGCAATGTACCATACCACAAATTGAAGGTTGTGATTGAGGTGGGGGATGATGAATCAAAAGGGGGTTGAAAAAATGTGTGGGAGGTAGGATTTTTTTTTTTCCTTTTTTTTTCTTTAAAATTTTCCATTTAAAGATGGTTGTTTCAGATTTATATATGAAAGAAAATAATAATGATACGGTTATATATCATGAGGAATTGAAATTTAAAATTATGTATATTGGAAATTTAGGTTACATTGGAAAGTAATAATTGGCTTTGGTGGGGGGGGGGGGGGGGTGGTTATGGCTCTAATGTTTAAGGAATAAGGGGAAAAAAGGTTAAAAAACAAGGGTTTCCATTTTAATAGACAAATAATTGAGTAAAGAACATTATTTAAAAGCAGTGTAAGGTTGGTAATTCAAACTCATTTAAATATCTCATCTACACTGCTTTTAAATTATGTAAATTGGAAATTTGCCAATAACTTTATTGTTAATAAATGCATTGGAAATTTGCCAACAATTTTAGTGTAATAAACTTCATTGGAAATTTGCCAATATAAAATTTTGCTGATGAAGGTTTTTTGTTTACCTTTAGCCTTGACTATGAAGTCATTTTCTATTTTTATAGCCTTATGATGTAGTTGAATTATTTAATACTTTTATGATGTGTTTAAATGGGGTTTTATCATGTTTATGGTTGCAAATTTATTGTTTTAGTATAATAAACTCCATTTAAAATTTGCCAATAAAAAAATTTTTGTTTATTTTTAGCTATGATTATGATGTCATTTTCTATTTTACTTTTATGGTTGCAAAGAAATTTTTATTTTTAGATATTACTGTTAAATGATGCTGATTAAGGTTTTTGCTATGTTTAGCCATGACTATGATGTCATTTTCTATTTTAATATCTGTTATGATGTATTTAAATGGGCTTTTATGGTTACAAAGGAATTTTATTTTTAGATATTACTATAAAATGTTGCTGATGCTGATTAAGGATTTTGTTTATTTTTAGCCATGACTATGATGTCATTTTCTATTTTAATACCTTTATGATGTAATTTCCATTTTTAGATATTACTGTTAAATGATGCTGATTAAGGGTTTTTTGCTATGTTTAGCCATGACTATGATGTCATTTTCTATTTTAATATCTTTATGATGTATTTAAATGGGCTTTTATGGTTACAAAGGAATTTTATTTTTAGATATTACTTTAAATGTTGCTGATTAAGGATTTTTGTTTATTTTTAGCCATGACTATGATGTCACTTTCTATTTTAATACCTTTATGATGTATTTAAATGGGCTCCCATGTATTTAGATTTTTGATTATTTATACATGTTACCAAATTGGTCCACATTGAACAAAAACAGTCCAAATTTCAACTTTATTACATTACATCAAACATTGAATTCTACATATTCTTTGATATATTGAAATTAACAAACAATTTAGTTTATGGATATTCCACCATAATAGGTAAATTAAATTTTTTCCAGTTCTTACACCACATTCATCCTGTGTCAGAAACCTATGCTGTGTCAAATATTTAATGACAATCCAAAGTCATAGCTGTATCAAGCTTGAATTTTGTGTCCATACTTGCCCCAACTGTTCAGGGTTCGACCTCTGCGGTTGTATCAAGCTGCGCCCCAGCGAAGCATTTTATGTACATATTGTTGTATGTACCAAACTTTTTTAACTAAAAGTGATGATAACAAGTTATGGTACATTATGCATTATTAGATGTTTACATATTGGCGTAAAAAGCAGCATTTCATTTACAAGTTATAAATAGTTGAGAATTCAGTTATTACATGTATGTGTTTCATGATGTTTTTCTTGTAGGTATTCTGTTGAGATCTTCCAACCACCTGTGAAAACTGACAGTCGAATGTCTTGTCAACCTTCACCTTCAAATTTAAGTAACAGTAGCCAATCTAGTGGCAGTATGAGTAGTTTAGACAGCCAATCTTCTTGCAGCAGCTCATGTACTATAACAGCAGACCAGGAACATGTTGGTGAAGGTGAGGCAGACATTGGTGAGATAAGCAGCTCTGGATCAAGTCTTGTAGCTAATGTTGGTAGTGGACTTGATGTAACAGATACAGGAAGTGCTAACAGAAGTGCCACACATATTCCATCCTGTATTGTAAACTCAGATTTACAGCTTAGTGATGATGCTGATGATGAATCAGAGGAAAGGAATCTCCCAGAATACACCTTTTTTAAACTTCCTGTTGATGACAATGCACAGGATAATGTTATTAGTCTTGACCCACCAGTAGAGACAGACAAGCCTAAGGCCATTCCAACAAAACCTGTTTTAGGTATACAGTCTATGGAAGCTGAACGACAGTCGCAGTTGTTCTATGTTAAACCTGTCAATCAAGAAGGAGTGAGTCTGAAAGGACCAGATGGAGAAAGAATAGAAGATAAAGGGGATGTTCCAATTGATCTGACATATCGAAAATATTTGTCTATGGACTGGAAGAATAATGACAAATTAGATTCTTATGTGTTGGTCCAGACTAAAGAGATTGTAAGTTTGTTTTTTATATAGGGAAGCACAAAAGAAAAGTCAAATTACAGATATATATATTATGAGACTGTTACTGGTAATATCTTATAAGAGCATCATTTAAAATGAGAAATGGGATTTGATTATTTGTATTCACCTTTATATTCTAATTTGGTCAAAACAGCCATTCTACAAATCTATCCCATTGGTTTGTAGTCTAAAATTCTACTAATTAGTCAATGGGGTGTAAACCTTTTTCAAATCAGCAACAAAGATCGTTTTATTCCTTTGCTTTTGCTTTTGTTTAAAGGAAGCTTTTTTATGCTATAATTTTTTATTTACAACATATGAAACTTGTGAATATATTTGTAGGATTATGAAGAGGACTCATCATTTAATAGATCCATTGATGATGGTAATTATTACTCATTCATTACAATTTATCAGTTAAAAGACCAATTAAGTATAGATCCATTTATTACTCATTCATAACATCTTGTCAAAATTATAGCTTAACAAATATCATCATAAAAAAAGAATCCATTGATGAGGGAAAAAATTACTAATTTATAATCTTTTACCAATTAGAAGACCTATAATTAAATAGATTCATTGATGATAGTACAGCCTATCATTTAATCGATGTATTTAACGTAACTTTGGTATTTATTTATATTTTAAAGTATTATTGCAACTTTCACTTGTTTTTTGTATTGCAAGTGGTTAATTTTATCAAAATTTTTACTGATATGAATACAAGATTTTGGATATTTGTCAATGAGAATTAAACACAAAAAAACACAAAAGACATCTTACTAAAGCTATTTAAAGGTCAGTTGCAATGGTTTATGAGTAACCTAAGATTTTACTTTAAAATTAAATTTGAAATTAAAGAAAAACATTGAAATTAGAATAGCCAAGGTCTTTGCATATAATAGATATTAAAAAAGAGGCTGAAGATACCAAGATAACATTCAAAACTCATAAGTTGAGATAAAACACGAAGACAAAAAAGGAAGACGGCTAAAAGTCAAAAAGTTCACAGAACACTACTTACTGTAAAAGCAGATTTAATTTCATTTATTTCATGGATAATTCTTAACCATGAAATTAAAACCCCAACGAAAATTTAAATGTAAATTTACCAAATCTGAATCCAAAATATGTAAATATTTACATTATTTTATCAGACAAAATCATATTGACATTATATAAATGCATACAATGAAAATAATAGGTTAATTGATTGGACAAAAATATTAAAACATTTTCTTTCAGTCAGATGATAATCATAATCTTTTGTTTGTACAGTAATAATTCCCGATCAAGAACTGTCAATCAATGTCATTTAACAGTCTAATACATCTGTAATGCAGGCAAGCCGAAATTCATTAATTACACAATCATTGTCATTGGATAAAACATCAAAGGCATGTAAAAGCCAGTTAGTGTGTGCCAATTTAATTTCACTAAAAGATCGACAGTTATTTTTTCAACAGGTACACCTTTTTCCAGCTGAGTAGACACTCGATCGGAATACCAAATGATAAATTTCTGCTTGATAATGTACTTTAACTTCCCATTTACAATACGGTCACACGGCTGAAGTTCTTGTCTTGATGTGCCTTAAAGACATCGAATATGGCTAGTGCATGTGCCTTGCTCCTCCCGGAATGTCCAATTTCTTTACGAACTTTGTCAAAGTATGGTATCAATACGGATTTCGCGTATTCTATCATTGTAACACATGTTGACCAGTGATTCTCAGGTTGTGTAACATTCCAGACTTGGAAATGTGTATGAAGGAAGTTGCACAGCTCGGTGAAGGCAATCCTGGGGAGGATGGTTCACGTATTTTAGAACTTTTAATCCATTTTAAGAGAGACATGTTTACACTTCTTGTTACAATTAATGAATGATAAAATGTAAGTTCACATAACTTAATTAGTGCTCACTGTCACTATTAAATACACTATTGATTTTTCCCAACGGCGAAAGTTAAGATTAGTATTTGTCAAGCCTGCAACTTTTGTCGCAGAAAGCTCGACATAGGGATAGTGATTTGGCAGTGGTGGCAGCGGCGGCTTAGCCGGTGATTGCGTTAGCTAAATTCTTAAAAGCTTTGTATTTTAGAAGGTGGAAGACCTGGATGCTTCATACTTTGTATATAGATGCCTTATATTACGAAGTTTCCGTCTGTCACGTGTCCATTGTCCATGACCTCATTTTCATGGTTCAGTGACTATTTGAAAAAAAAGATTTTTTGTAATGTTAATTTCTCTCTTATAATGAGTAATAGGATAACTATATTTGGTGTGTGCATACCTTGCAAGGTCCTCATGCCCGTCAGACAGTTTTCACTTGACCTCGACCTCATTTCATGGATCAGTGAACAAGGTTAAGTTTTGGTGGTCAAGTCCATATCTCAGATACTAGAAGCAAAAGGTCTAGCATATTCGGTGTATGGAAGGACTGTAAGGTGTACATGTCCAACTGGCAGGTGTCATCTGACCTTGACCTCATTTTTATGGTTCAGTGGTCAATGTTTAATTTTTGAGTTTTGGTCTTTTTTTCTAATACGATATGCAAAAGGTCAACTATATTTGGTGTATGGAAATATTTTATGATGTACATGTCAGTCTGGCAGGTGTTATTTGACCTTGACCTCATTTTCACGGTTCATAGCTCAGTGTTAAGTTTTTTGTGTTTTGGTCTGTTTTTCTATTACTATAAGCAATAGGTCAACTATATTTGTTGTATGGAAGAATTGTAAGCTGTACATGTCTGCCTGGCATGGTTCATCTGACCTTGACCTCATTTTTATTGTTCATTAGTCAATATTTAGTTTTCTTGGTTAAGTCTGTATCTTAAGCAATATGTCAACTATATTTAGTGTATTGAATGATTGTAAGGTGTACATGTCTTTCTTGTTTGGTTTATATGACCTTGAGCTCATTTTCTTGGATCATGTTAAGTTTATGTGATAGTTGTAGTAAAGCTTTATATTTAGAACTATCAAGGTAATATCAATGATTAGTACAGAAGGCGAGACATTTCAGCGTGTGCACTCTTGTATTGAGTATTGTCAATTATAAAGTGACATTTACATATTTTTTTCTCAACTTAAAAACCTCGAAAATTAATCCCCACGAACTTACTTTTGGATACAAAACCACGAAATTTTAACCCCACGAAAATTAATGTTTATACAGTAGTTAACTAAAGACTAAGCAACATGTACCCCACATACAAAACTGGTGGTGATCTCTGAATCTCCTGAAAAGTTAGCAGATCCTGCTCCGCTAGTGGCACCCATTGTGATGCTCATGGTATCTACAAATTCCGTGATACATCTCATTTGATATCACAATAGAATAAAAGAGGAAGGGATTGTAGTTACAACAGTTAAAAATATCTGTGACACAGCTTATCCATAACGACAAACCAAATCATTATGGCGTATGTAAAACTTTCGAAGGGATGACTTCTACTTTTCCTCTTGGAACACTAAGGTCATAAGCTTCTTGTAAGTAGCAACCCTTTAAAAGGAAATCATAATAGGAATTGCAAGCTCTGAAATATCATATCAACTGGGAAATATATACTGTAAATTCAGAAATTATTGCGTTCATTTATTATTGCGATTTTGTTATTTTAGACTAAAATGCGATTTTAATTTTTGCGATATTCAGAAAAATCCGGTTTAATTCATATAAAAAATTCAAAATGCAAGTTTGAATTATTGCGATTATTATCCTGTCGCATTTTTCGCAATAATAAAAACATCGCATTAATTTCTGAATTTACAGTACTTAATATGCAAGTGCTGCTAGAAAGTTGCCATATAGAAATAGATATTTCACAATTCGGAAGCTGAAATTATCCTTTTTATACGACCGTAAAAAAAATTTTGTGGTCGTATATTGGTATGACGTTGGCGTCGTCGTCGTCGTCGTCGTCGTCCGAAGACACATTGGTTTTCGCACTCTAACTTTAGTTTAAGTGAATGGATCTCTATGAAATTTTACCACAATGTTCAATACCACAAAAGGAAGGTTTGGATTGATTTTGGGGGTTATGGTACCAACAGTAAAGGAATTAGGGGCCAAAAAGGGGCCAAAAATAAGCATTTTTGTAACTTCCAGACATAACTTGTGTGTTAGTGTATGGATATCTCTGACATTGTACCACAAAGTTCCATATCACAAAAGGAATAATGCTGGGATTGATTTTGGGGGTAATTGCCTCAAAATTTTAGGAATTAGGGGGCAAAAAACAAGCATTTTTCTAGTTTCAGGACAATAACTTGTGTGTAAGTGTATGGATCTTTCTGAAATTGTACTACAAGGTTCCATATCACAAAGGGAAAGCTAGAATTGAGTTTGAGGGTAATGTTGAAATGTTAAGGAATTGGGGGCCAAAAAAGGGGCCAAAAATAAGCATTTTTCTAGTTTCCAGACAATAACTTGTGTTCAAGTGTATGGATCTCTCTGATATTGTACTGCAAGGTACCATACCACAAAGGGAAGGCTGGGATTGATGATGGGGGTAATTGCCTCAATATTTTAGGAATTAGGGGCCAAAAAGGGGCAAAAAACAAGCATTATTCTAGTTTCAGGACAATAACTTGTGTGTAAGTGTATGGATCTTTCTGAAATTGTACTACAAGGTTCCATATCACAAAGGGAAAGCTGGGTTTGAGTTTGGGGGTAATTGCCCCAAACGTTTAGGAATTAGGGGCCAAAAAGGGGCCAAAAAACACATTTTTCTAGTTTCCAGACAATAACTTGTATTCAAGGTACCATACCACAAAGGAAAGGCTGGGATAAAGTTTGGGGGTGATGAATCATAAGGGGGTTCAAAAAATTTGGGGGGGGGGGATTTTTTTGTTTTCCTTTTTTTTTTCTTTTAAAATTTTCAATTTTAAGTTGGTTATTTCTGATTTATATTTAAAAGCAAATAATAATGATATGGTAGGAGATACACACCAAACAGGATGTGTAAATTATTATATAATAAGTATTGTGCAATAGCAAGAAATTTTCAATTGCACAGTATTGCACAATAGCAAGAAATCTTCAATTGCACAGTATTGCGCAATAGCAAGAAATCTTCAATTGCACAGTATTGCGCGATAGCAAGAAATATCCAATAGCACAATATTGCGCAATAGCAAGAAATTGTCAATTGTACAGTATTGCGCAATAGCAAGAAATATTTAATTGCACAGTATTGTGCAAAAGAAGATACTTCGTATAAATTGCTTATTTCTTTACCATTTTCAATGGGGTTTTATTCTTGAATTCTTGGGGTTCTTTAATATGCTGAATCTAACCGTGTATTTAGTTTTTGGATTTTGGGCCCCATTTTTAAATTGGTCAACATTGAGGTCCAAAGGGTCCAAAATTAAACTTT